CGATTTACAAGGGGGAGGGAATTTGATTTTTCCCTAACCAATCAGTAGAGATCAACGACTCACCCAGAATCTGACGTCATTAGTATCCATGCCTCGGGGGTGCTGAAAACAAGCGAGCATTGCCCGTTTAAAATGTCTCCGTCGTCATGCATGCCCAGCTGCCATCGCCGTTAAATCCAGTTTAGCAGCTTCCTTAATTTGGTCCTCCATTAACGCGAGTAGTGGCGAAATACCTCGATAGCATCATAAATGTGGTCTGTAGGATCTGTAGCGGTCGCCATTGTTGCTATCCTCACCAGTTACCCACCGGCGTACAACTTGACATCAGCGTGGCACTGATTGGCTAATTGCTAGACCCGCCCCCACCCCCGGCGTTCATTGGTCCGTCCATCGTTTGGACAAGATAAATCGCAAATTCATTGCAGTATGCCAGACCAGAGATGCAAGCCTACTCAGTTGAGTGGGCGGGGTCTTTGGTCTGGAACCAGGCTAAGCATAACTCCAATATATGCTAAAGTTAAAGGAGATAGAGAAGATAAACTCACAGGCTTTCTCAGCCCAAACAACACTGCCACCTTCAATAAACCCAGGCTCCATTTATGTGAGCTCCAGGTAGTGACAATGCAGATACTACCTATCCTAGCACATTCACCATACTCTATTTCACACGTTACATAGGATAACTCCAGTATAAGCTAAAGTTAAAGGAGATAGAGAAGATAAACTCACAGGAACAGCAAACACACTCACCTTGCAGCATGGTCTCAAACAAAAGGGATTCAAATAGGCCACTCCCACACTTAAATAACCTTCCTCTTGCTGGATTTTCTGACAGGACTGATTGGTGGATCTCTCCACCTAATCTCAAGGAGTTATGTACCCTGCTTAGTAGTTCCCCCTGCTGACCCCCAACTGACATTATTCCTCCTCATCCAAATCCACTGACTAGCTCTGGCTGCTTCATCTGACATTTCCTTCACTGTCTTCCTCAAACTCTGTCCCCGCACTCCGAGTTCCCCGAGGAGCGAGACAGCTGATCTTGCTATGAATCCTCTACACCCCACTTCCACTGGACAAATCCTAGTTTTCCATCCTTGCTGCTCATCTTCTGCTCCTAAGTCTGCATATCTAAGCTTTTTTCTTTCATAGGCTTCTTCCACTGAGTCTTCCCAAGGAATTGTCAGCTCAATGAAATAAACTATCCGTTGACTCACTGACCACAATACTATGTCAGGCCTCTGCTTGGTACAAACTATTTCCTGGGGAACAACAAGCTTTCCCCCTAAATCTACTTGCATTTCCCAAATGCACGCATGCACGCACACACACGCACACACGCACGCATGCGCGCGCGCACACACACACACACACACACACACACACACACACACACGTTTCACAAGATGAGGGCTCTAAAGAATGAATGCAAGCTATATGCCAGTTCCTAAAACCACCAGGAAATCTTATCTCTGATGTAATGTTCAAAGGAAATAATCTGTTAAAAATTCATCCACTTTGCTCTTTTTACACAAACTTCCTGCAGTTATCACATTCATTATTTAGGTTAATTACACAGTTTATCAGTTATTCTGTACTGTTATTGTTATGCACTGAATATATCATGAAAGATCCATAAAATATGTCACTTATAGAATAAAGGTCCCTTAAGGAAAAAGGCTGGGAATCACAACTCAAAACTACAGTAGCGCCATGTTGCACAGCTACATTAACACCTGTTAATAATAGGTTATATTAATGTAATCTATAATAATATGCTAGTCAATGGTCTGAAACACTGGATTTTGCTGATAAATCTTTTATGCTTTTTGCTGAAGAAGGATTTTTACGTTGTGGTATTGATACTTTTACTTTTACAAATACTTGTATCATCACTGCCTTTTAAACACTGATGAGTTCATGACAGTTCTCTGCAGCACATCTCCACATTTGACTTTATCTTGCTGAACCTGTTCTGTGGGCAGAGAGGAAAGTATGATAATGAGGGGTGTTGACTACACAAACAAAGTGCCTATGTTAGATCAAGTATCAGAGGAGTCATGTACGTGCATTAAAGAGGAACAGTCTAGATGTAAGTACGCTAACCTCAATGCATTACATTCACAGCTAAATATATTACTGAGAGACTAAGTTTAACTGTTAAATACTATGTAGTAGCCTAGTGTGCTGTTTTGTCACTATTTTGTTTCCATAGCCCAGACATTCATTCACTATAGATTTAATATTTAACATTGAAATATACTCGAACCCTGCGCTCTCCAAAGAGTACTTTTGCCTGCTAAGTGTAATTTTGTTACTATTGTTTGTTTTTTTTAATCTAGGATGTCTGTAAAGCTTGAGCCCTTTCTCTCCATAATAACAAAACTGAAAGTACTGGAGTGGTAGGAGGTGGTGGGGTACCAAAATTGCCCTTTGGTTAAGCTTGTCCATGTTGACTAATTATCTTAAACTGCAAGTTACTAATAAACCTGCTGAACTAGACATACTATAATCTTTTTTTATTAAATTGTACAGTGTCATTTATTTTTCCTGTTGGTGCAAGTTAAAGTGTTTTTAATCCAGTTATCAGGGCTTGATTTTTTTTGTCTGCTCTCAATATTTTTTTTAAGAGACACTGAAAAGCTTAAATGTTTGTCTGAAATGGGGTTCCTTAAAATTGTGATTATTCCCACAGGAGCATGTAAGCCACCAGATCTGTCAGTGTATCTGAGCTAAAGATTCAAATGGGTTTTATCCTCAAAAAAATGAAGTTTACCCATATGCAGCTTCCAGACAGCCTGTCATTGTTTTATACTAATTTTAACAGTGGAAATTAAGCTGCTCTGATTTGGTCATTTTTCCTTGGTGTTAGTGCTTCGGTACGCATTTTTTCTGTTTCCACTGTGAAAAGTTGTGGATGGTACCAATGGAACCATTCCTCACCGTTACAATTTATGGTCACTCCTCTGTTGGGGTACCTAGCACACAGATCTGGTATTAAAATGTGGAGCTGTGAACACTGCAGTCTGTTGATTGGTCAATAGCGGACGGTCACTCTGCTCAGGGCTGAGTTGTGGCTGGTTTTGAGGCTCATGTAACCACTGTACATAGCGTGGAGAGTTTATTTAGTGAACTGTAATTATGCAATGAAAGGATGTTTTGTTGCCTCTTGCAGCAGCTGGAGTCGGAGAAACATTCACTGGGCCGACTGCCAGGATTTTTTAGGTGGAACATTAAGTCGTAGGGCTGCGCACCTGCGCTTCGCCAACTGGGTGTGGCCAGGCGGATTTTGCAAGTTTGGCACACCGTACGCCTGGGGCGGCTACTCCTCTTTCCCACCTCCGTCCCTCCTACCGGCGCAATTCGGAAAGAGGGAGGAGAGAAGGCGTGGAGTGGGTTTTACACAGCCGATTCACATCACACCAATCAAATGAGCCCCTCTCCTCGCCCTTAAATGCACCGCGCGGAGGCGTAATGAGAGTTTACTCAATTCGCCATGGCAGAAGAGAGCAGCAGCATCAGACGGCCAAACTTCTCCCAGGAGGAACCTGATGTTTTGGTCCGGGAGGTCTGCTCGCAGTGTCCGAATATACGGAACTGTGAGCAGACCTCCACGGGCTGATGATGCAAAGGTAGCCTGGGAGGAGGTCACCACAATTGTAAATCAATGTTGCGTTTCTCTCGTGTGCGTGCTCTCTCTTTCTCTCTCGCAGTCTCACTCTGTTTCTTTTCTTTTGACTTTTCTAAGATGACAGATGCTGAATATATACTCCCTATCTGATGCTGTGGCTGTTTGTGGTTGGCTGAGAGGGGTGTGAACTCATTAGTTTGCAGCTGTGTTAATCAAATCAAATCAGGTTGGGTTTCCATTACGCGTGCCAAACGGTGCCAATCCCCTTTGATCTGACATCAGATGTGACGGGACAGTCGATATAGAGATACATTTATGTGCTGATTGCAGATAGTTGCATTGAATAGTGTTTTTTGGGTATTTATTGCATTGTTTATGTTTATTCCATTGTTTTGAGCTATTTTGTTCTGAAAATGTTCACGTGCAGTCTTGTTCTGTGGACGAACAATGAGGTGCAGACTTCCCTCTGTGTCACCGGTGATGAGGAAGTACAGTGAGTGCTGGACGGAGCAGTGAGTGACAACAACCCCACCCGTATTTAAAGGTACAGTTTGCAGTGGAAACTCTAGGGTCTAGGTACCATGTCTGAAGGGTACTTTCGGTTCCAAAGATACCATACCGAAAGTGTTTGGTGGAAACGGGGCTTATGTGACTAGTTAAATGTTTTTGTTGTTGTAGTCTTTTTCACTTGTGTTGTTGTTGTTATTTCCTACTTTGTTGTGCTGTAGCCCAAAGACAGTAGGACAAGGTTAATACCGTTAAACGTCCAGTTATGACTTGCACATGATATTAAGTTAGTAAAAAGACATTCGTCCTTATAACTACACTCTATCTATATTTCACATACAGTGCCTGTTAGCAGGAGAACTCACTGAGCTCTGTGCAACATGCCGTGGCTCTGTCAAAAACAGACAAGGGGCATGTTTCTTTTTCTGGGAGCTTCTGAAACACTCTGCACTGTGTCTGCTGGAATTACAACAATTGTCTTTAGTGGCAGCGATCAGCCCAGGTGGCTGGCAGAGATCTGCACTCTACTGAGTGAACTTTTCTAGTTAAGGTTGGATTTCTTTTCACATATTAACATTTACAACAAGCTAATGATGCTGTAAATAAATGTCTGTTTGAAATGTGTGGACAGGTAAGTGAAAAGCAGAGCAGACTCTAGTAGAAAGAAACGACAGATGGTCAGTTATTTGTGATGTAACTTTCCACCAAATATTTGCTGAGGACACTTTTGTCAGAATGCCATTATCAGTCTCATGACCCCTTCTTTTCCTTTAATGAACTATAATTGATTGTAACTGTTTCCAAAATGCCAAGCAGTAATGGTTGATCAAAACATAATTTTTGTTTATTTCTCTTTACCTTACAGTTGCTGTTCTTGGTCATGGATAATTTTGTTCGGAACAAATTAACTGAATGGGATCTCAGTGAGTGGATAGAAACATTTCAAGGTAATACTGAAATGTCTTTCCATGCTTCTGTGTTGGGCAAAAATATTATACAATGTTGGTATCTACTAATACAGACATAAAAAAATGCTGCAACATGTTTCTGCAGCACAGTGCTGACTTATCATTGACAGACATATTTTTAAGACAAAAGGAGTGATCAGTGTTGACAAATCCTGACAATTCTTGTCTGTGTTTAGAAAGTAAAAAACAGTATGAGTAAAGATTTTGTACGTTTTATGATTAATACGACTCCTCCAATCCCAAGCTTGCATTCACACACTGAATCTGAATAAACATAGCCAGCCAATCAGGACATGCCTACCTGAACATAGTATATAATAGGGGGTGTGCCCGCCACCACACATCCTTCATCCTCCTCTGCGAGCCATGGCCCCAAGGTAGAGGGCTCCGCCTGTGCTAATACAACTAAGGTAAACAACGACACTGCTGTATATGTCCTCGACACGCACTCTGCTGAACAAGGTGGCTGACACTGTCACACCACTTGTGGAGTGTGCATCCATCTAGGGCTATGCAATATGACGATATGTATCGTGTGACGAGAGAAAAATGTCATTTCACATTTTGCTCTATTGTTTATATTGTTGCAAATTGATGCAAATTACACTTTTTACGGCAATATTTTTCGTAATTTGGAGTCTGTCCATCTTTTGCACGGATCACAGTGATAAATTACTGTTCTTGACTTTTTAATTTGCTTTTACGGCACTTACAGTAACATAACGAGTTTAAATAACTCCGCTGTCTGTCTCTGCTGCGCTGCACACTGGCTCAGCCGCACAGAGAACAGAGACGCAGCGAGATGGTGACAATATTCAGACCAAATCAAGTGGTGCGGAGTACAACCTCAATGTTGATCGGAGGTGTGTGGGGATGTGGGCGTGTTTGTGCCTTAGAACATAACCGCTGTGAAACAATCAGAAAATAACGTTGAATTGATCTGAATTACCAGCTTTCTCGTCCATCCCAGTGGGAGTATCCCTGCCTGTAGGTTTGGGAGATAACATGCCAACACATGAAATGGGCAGAGCACATGGAATTTTGCCACCCTGTCCCCCTCATAGGGTAGTCAGCTGGCAAACAGACCCACTTCTGCTTTCCTGAACCGAGTCCAGATCTGCCTCACCACCTCAGGTGAGGCCTCCACTTCCACAGTCCTGGAACGTGAAGAGCTTTCAGAGACAACAAGTGTTTTGAGGCCCAAAACCACAAGTTCTCTGCCATCCTCAACAGAGCAGTGGACCAAACTCAGCCCTGCCTATTGATGTAGGCCACCGTGGTGTGGTTGTCAGTCCTCACCAACAGGTGCTTTCCCTGTGTCAGGGACCTAAAGCTTTGGGGGGACAAGAAACACTACCTGTAGCTTGAGGAGGTTGATGTGAGACCTCTATTGGAGGCCACACACAACCAACTGCTCTCCCCAGGCAGGTCCATCCCTATACTGATAGGGACACATCTGTGAACACCATGATGTAGGAGGCTACCAACCAAGCGCTGCGTGTGCTTTTTGGCATCCAAGCAAAAGATGGAAAACCACCTCTGCAGGTGTCACATGTGCAGTAGCCTCAACAGTACTACTGGATGGGCTGCTGCCATGAACCCACCTGCATGACATTCAATGCTGTCACCATTGCACCAAGCTGAGAAAATAATGTAAAATTTGTTATTCAATACTGCTATGACAGTTGAGTTTTGTTTTCTAACAGACCCACGCCGATCATAACATTCATGAATGAGAACAGCACTGTAATTCCAGCAACTGTGATTGCTTACACTAGCACAATTGCTGGATTCTCTGTCTCTGTGCTGACGCAAAGCCCCCTCTGGGATCTGCACCTAACCACCTCTGCTGTGAGGGGATGATGTTGCGGTGTGTCTGTCGCAGCAGCCTGGGAAGATGGGGCAGCTACCCGGGCCATGAATGCTCTGTGCCGGATGTGTTCTCTTCTCCTCACCACATTGCTATGCTTCATCTCATCTGTTCCTCTCTGCTGACGACCAGGTGGCAAGTGGCAACTGAGCCGTTACTTCTCCTCCTCCAGCCTTTTAAAGCACTGAGTGACTGATGAGCAGTGATGGGAATAACGGCGTTACTAACGGCGCTATTTTTTCAGTAACGAGTAATCAAAAAAGTTACTGTCTCCCCCGTTATAACACCGTTACCGTTACTCACAATAAAATGCGCCGTTAGTCGGCTTTACTTGAGTTCACTGAAGCGGCTTTCACCCAAGCAAGCTCCTTCTCAGCGGAGCTCTTAAGTTTTTTTTCTTTGGTGAGGGCAGGTGAGGGGGAAGGAAGGGAGAGACAACCACATAAGTGATGATGATTGGCTTAGGGAGAATAACATTTCATCATAAACCAATCAGAGGCAGAGCAGGGCGGGTATTCAGAAGCACACATGCAGGGTTGTCAGGTCCGCTTAGGAGCAACAACTTTGGGCTTATTTTTTTGTAAAGTTGCTTACCAATTTTGGGTTTTTTTCTAAAGTGGAGTTATTTGGGCTTGCTCTCTAAACATCGCCTTTCTCTATCTATCCGTCTAATGTGTTAGTTAAACGCATGATAGTATGTTGGACTGCAGGATGTTTCCACAGCTCTGCTCCCCCCGCCCCTCTCCTTCTCTGCATACACACAGCTGACGGTCAGTCAATGAGACTTATCACACTTAAATTGTGTGATTAATGGAGGTTCTTACACACACACACACACACACACACACTCCTTGATCAGATATATATCTGACCGAGGAGCACAACATAACGCTCTATCTCTCTACCAGCATCTCCCTCTCCTCCACACACACATGCACACACCTCACCTCCTGATGGTTTCCTTTTATGTTAAATACACAGGATATAGTTTTATACAGTCCATGGCAGCAACACTCATGTTTACAACAACAAAGTCACTATATAAACTCAAAAATATCTCACTGGAAAAAAGACTAGCATGTCAATAAAATTAATATTCCTCCTGACATCACGTAACGTTATCTAAACATGAAGCACACAAACATCAGTATCAGTCATTCATCCCGTGCTCTGTCCCCCCTCTACTGAGGACACTCACTGTCTGCAGGTCGGCTGCCTCAGGTACATCTTTAGATATAGTGTTAGACTACAGACAGCTTTAATTTTAGTTAGCTCCACTTGTGTGATGTGCTTGTGAAAACCATGATCATAAACCATAATAGCAGTAAATGAGAGACTGTGGACAGAGTGGATTGAAATATGGCTTTCTACATAAAGTATTGGCTTTGACTATGGCTATGACTTCACTCTGTTGTGTTTGCGTGTGTGTGCTGTGGGGAGGAGGTCAGCGCTGACATGCAGTGAGCAAGAAGAAGGCTGCAGCATGATGATCCGTGAAACCAAAACTTTAAAAAGTAACGATAAAAGAGCCAATTACATATTATTACGGTCTTGATTAATTTTGCTCCAGGCCGTTTAATACCGGGTCTCGGTACCACTCTCTGCCCGGGCCACTCAGAGGTTGCTTCTGAGCTGCATGAGGCCCGCGTGCCACCAATTGAATAGACCTGCTGTAAGGTGAAACATCTTCAAGAAACTCAAGCAAGTCCAATTACCTACGATATAGCACTTAAGATTACCATGACCTGGATGACTGAGAATCCTCACGAACATAAAATACAATCAATACAATCATACAACCAGGCTATCAGCACTGTGTGGCTGTAATGCTCACAATAACTGTATGTCCCTCCTTATATCATTTATTTCTGCAGCAATTTGAAATTAGTTTTAGTTTTGCATTACTATGATTCAACTGAATATTTTTTGATTACAGCTCAACGCATTGACAAGAAAAATCTTTACTGTCTTGGTCATCAAGAAATCACTGACTTGATCCCAATAGTGGGACCCAGGGCAAGATTCAAGAGAGAACTAGAGTTGTTAAAGGTAATGTTCTGCATTGTAAAGACAATTAACAAAAAAACATAATACAAATACAATCTCATTGATAACAATTGCATTAAACAGAATGTAACATTTCCTGAAGGTGCTGCATGTAACTCCGGAGAAAGATAGTTGATCGTTGAGTCTCATTCCCAGGTCGTCAAATACTGGCACTTTGGGTTCGTTGTTCAGTCCAACTACCAACCTAAGGTGTCTTTATTTGACGACCTGGGAATGACATTCAGCAGTCAACTGTCTTTCTCCAGAGTAACAAACAGCAACTTTAACTATTATTGATTTGCAACTATTTTCTTTTGTTACTAGAAGAAACAAAACACAGCAAATGCAAAAACAGTTGATTCTCCTGCTCAAGTAAGTTGAAAACAGTTTCACACAGTTAAGTATCATCTAAGGCACTGTTGCCCAACTATTTGACATGGCAGCCATGTTCTCAGTTGTATTGTAATTAACTAATATCATGTTCTTCAGATGTCTGTTTGAACGTTTGTATTCAGTAAACTGAGGGGAAAATATGATCATATGACTGAGCTTCAGAGAGTTGTTGGATAAGAGCAGGTGGGCGGTCAGGTGTAAAATCTGTGCAGAGTACTGGAATAAAAACAAGGACACATCACCAACAGTATGATAATAACATCCAAAACACAAACTTCAGTCTCACTTTCTATGACAGGAGAAATACTTTGAAAATGCAAATGTTTAAGATGACAAAAACGGCCAAAATATACAGTGTTACCTACAGTGCCGTAGACCCAACTAGGAAAAGTCACGACTGCATTTTAGGCACTGAAGAGTCCTGAGACAAAGACTGAAACTCTGACTGAAGAATCGTATCATTGAATCACAATGTTGACTAGGGGGAAAAAGGACACTGAACTTGATCAGCTGTTAGCTCTTCTCTGGACTCCACTTCCCAGGGTTTCACCCGGCTCATCCCAGACTGAATGAGAACATAAATGCAAATTTTGGTGTGTGAATTGTAAATTGTGTTTAAGCCTGTAGAGTCCTGTTTGAGGACAAATGCTATGGAAATATATTTTCTTGATCAAACACAAATTTACTTGTTCAACCTCAGGTTCTTCCATCCACCAGTGCTTCAAGTGATAAAGGTGAGATACACAGTATCTTAATGATTACATTTAGTGTTAACATGTGTTTTTAATGCAACAATATCTTGCTTTGACTAGGCAACTCTACTAAACAAACATTTAAACGCAACACTTTCCTTTTTATTTGGTATATTGAGACCATGTTTCAATTATGTGAGAGGTACATGCAACAAACTTTTTTTTTTTGCTTTTTTCCCCATCCAATAAGGAAAGAGAAAGTTGGATTTTCAGGGCGAGTCCAGCAAATGGCAATCATCGACCAAGAAACACCGATGTGAACCTAGACCACGGTCATACTCAGGTATTTCCAATACTTTCTGAACAATGGCAGCCTCCCACAGGCTTATACTTTCATATAATGTCATTTTTTACTTGTATAGAAAATGTCTGTTAATATCTTGGCTTCAGTAAATATTATTTCATTGGTTGTTTGTTAAAATCTTATTAGTACATCTCAAACAGTCAACAGCTTGCATACCCTAAGGATTAAACTACATCTATCTATACAATACAATACATACTGTACATTAACATGCAACAATACATACAGTATGCTTCTGATATAACATCACCATTAGAATGTCCTTGGGATGTTGTAAGGGCAAACTCTTTGATCTCTAAGTATTTGCACTCGGCTTTAAGTATTCCCTTATTGGTTGCTATATGGTCTGTAACCATTTCCTGCAGGAAAAATTTAGGGACCATACCAGTCTCTTAATTGAAAAATATGTGGAACATAAGACAATGGTTGAATTTATGGTGACGGAGGAGGAGGAAGAGAGGACACATTTTTCAGGAGTGTGAAAACCCACTGGATACTACGAGTGATGCACAGCTTCTTAAATGTTTGCTGAATTAGTTAGTCTGGTTTTATTAGTTGTGAGAAATCCAAATTAATCTGTTGGAAGGAGTAGGCCAGATGTTTACCGTAGCTAGCTCGGCTGCGTTAACATGTCAGTGGTAATAGCTATTACACTGTTGTCAACATTGTAAAGTTTACTCGTGCACTAGGAACTTTGTAGATAGTGACTCAGTTTTTATATGGTGTGGGAGTGATTATAATAATGATGGCTCCAGTGTGTCATCAAGCCATTATTTTAGGTCCACCCAAAATTGCAAGACACTGAAACTACTCAAAAGTCTAACTCTACAATGCAGCACTGTGTGGCTGTAATGCTCACACCTATGTCCCTCCTTATATATTTCTGCAGCAGTTTGAAATTAGTTTTAGTTTTGCATTGCTATGATTCATTTGAACATTTTGTTAATTACAGATCAATGCATTGACAAGGAAAGTCTTTATTTTTGTGGTCATCAAGAAATCACTGACCTGATCCCAAAACTGGGACCTGGGGCAAAATTCAAGAAGAGACTAGAGTTGTTAAAGGTAATGTTCTGCACTGTAAAGACAATTAACAATAAACATAATACAAAAATCTTATTGATAACAAGTACATTAAAGAGAATGTAACATTTCCTAAAGGTGCTGTATGTCACTCTGGAGGAAGATAGTTGATCATTGAGTCTCATTCCCAGGTCGTCAAATACTGGTGCTTTGAATTGATTGTTCAGTCCAACTACCAACCCAAAGTGATTGTATTTGACGACCTGGGAATGAGACTCAGCAGTCAACTATCTTCCTCCAGAGTGACAAACAGCAACTTTAACTATTGTTGATTTGCAACTATTTTCTTTTGTTACTAGGGGGAACAAAACACAACAAATGCAAAAACAGTTGATTCTCCTGCTCAAGTAAGTTGAAAACAGTTTCACACAGTTAAGTATCATCTAAGGCACTGTTGCCCAACTATTTGACATGGCAGCCATGTTCTCAGTTGTATTGTAATGAACTAATATCATGTTCTTCAGATGTCTGTTTGAACATTTTTATTCAATAAACTGATTTTATAAAACTTTAATTCATATGATGACTAATGAAAAAGCGCTGCCTATATTCTTTGTTTCTGTGTGAAGGGGCGTACGTTTCTCTGCCTGATGGCAATATGTGAAATATGTTAGGATTTCCTGGTGACTGTATCACTGACACGCCAAAAACAGCTGCATCTGGGGCAGACAATTTTTCCGAGAAATGTTGCCAGATCAGGTGATTTTCCACCCAACTGGGCAGCTTTAGGATGGAATAAATTAATTTGCTGGGTTGACATAAGTTTGGCCTGGTTTGTCATAGTGCAGACATTTATACTATTTTCAATATTCATTTTATTCAAGACTAATATTGATTGTTTGGACCAACCTGGTAACACTGCTAGCTAGAAGGCTACTTAACCAGGCTGGCTGGTCAACCACCAGAGACACGCCCGCCAGATTCTAGCCAGTCAGACTAGCTCGTAGCAGACTGACATAAGAATACAACTAGGTCTGTAGTACTATCCTACATATTTGTGAATTTGGGTACATTTCATGAACCTAAAAATGACCTTCATGCTTTATCCTGTCAATTAAACATTGTTTTAAAAGACATATTTACATGTTCAACCTCAGGTTTGTCCATCCACCAGTGCTTCAAGTGATAAAGGTGAGATACAAAAATTTAACTTTTTTTTTGGCTCCCTTTCTTTGCCTTAGGATGGTCACAATAAAAGGTTATTCTTAAATGCGCAGTTTCATGACACAACAACATAACATAAACACAACATAAAACCACATATGTCACAAGCTTTGAGGGAGCGTGCCATCGGCATGCTGACTGCAAGAATGTCCACCAGAGCTGTTGCTCGTCAGCTGAATATTCATTTCACTATCACAAGCTGTCTACAATGTTGTTTCCCTTAATTTGGCAGTACATCCAACCAGCCTCACAATGCAGACCACATGTGACCACATCAGCCCAGGACCTCTACACCCCTGCAAGATCGTCTGAGACCAGCCACCAGAAAAGCTAATGCAACCAAAGAATTTCTGCACAAATCTTGCCCTGGCAGCAGTATATTATCATAACTGACTTGTGCAGTTGTTTCATTAGATGTACTTCCAAATTTAGGGAAATGACAGTGGAGACAACTTATGATATTAAAATGAACATTAAGTTCTAAGGCAACGAAATTCGTGCAGTCAGCATGCCAACAGCACAACCCCTCAAAACTTGGCAGACCTGTGGCATTATGATGCGTGATCAAACTGCATATTTTAGAGGAGCCTCTCAGGGGCCACTTTTTGTTTTTGTGAGAGGCACATGCAATAAACTTGTTTTTTGCTTTCTTTTCTTTCTTTTTTTTCAATCCAATAAGTGAAGAGAAAGTTGGATCTTCAGGGCGAGTCCAGCAAATGGCAATCACCAACCAGAAAACAACGATGTGAACCTAGACCGGGGTCATACTCAGGTATTTCTAATACTTTCTAAACAATGGCAGCCTACCATAGGGTTATACTTTGTATGTACCTTTATGTACTTCTATGGAAAATGTCTGTTAATATCTTGGCCTCAGTAAATACTACTACAAGCTGGCGATGTAGTTTTTATATGGTGATAAGGATGGCTCCATTGTGTCATCAAGCCATTATTTTCGGCCCACCCAAAAATCCTGGACACAAAAATGGTGAAAAACTATTTACCAGTCTAACTCCATTTCAACAAGTATTTTCTAAAATGTATAATGTGTTAAGAAAGAAATTATTGATTTTTCTTTACCTTGACTTTAAATTAAAAACTTAAAGCATTAAATGCAACCGGGCACTGGTGCTGAGTAAATAAGAAATGAGGCTTTAACTGGATAATGTATTAACCCAGATAATACACTCTGAGAGGGATTCTTTTTCTCCTTTTTTTATGTAACAAGACACCTGATTATGCATTTCTGCTTACTTTATACACTGGTTCCTGCTGAATGGTTCGTTGCTTTTACACTGACAGAAGGCTTTATATTGTCTGATGTGAAAACCATCATGAGATATGTTCAAAAAAGGCTACCAGCCCAAGACAACAAACTCAATCAGTTCCTCAAGTAAGTATTGAGTTTTTCGTATTCCATATTCTGTGTTATATGGACCTGGTCTCACTCTGCCTTGTTGAGTCAGTCTTTATTTTGCTCTTAAATTAGTCAATGCAAGTTGGACAGTTTCACAAAAAGCACATACTGACTTTTTATAAAAAAGTTAGCCACCTTTTCCTCAGGCTCTTTCAGAACTAAGAGCCATGTTTCCATGATAATTGTCTGCTGACTAGCGGCATCTGATGACAAAAAAAAGAGGAAAACATGGCTCATCATTTGTGGTTTGTTAACGATGTTTGGGAGTGAGTAATGAGGAAAGAGTTTTTGTAGACCGTAGAACACAGCAGTCAAAATAACCAGTTCAAGCAGTTTTATTATTTCCTCTTTTTCTGTCTGCCTTAAAATCAATAAGAAATAATTTATTCCCTGGTCCTACTAAAAGAGAGGCTGAAGGTAGAGAAGACAGTCAGAGGGCACAATGTGGCACCAAAGGCAGATAGTTACAAGTTAATTGCTACAACCACAAGACACACCTCACCCAATCTAAAGGTGGTCACATTCCACTGGCACTACACACCACTTAACTACAAACCCTGGTGTTACACCGCATGCAACTGTCCTTGGTGCCCCCACTGGCTGCCTCCAGGGAACCCTACAGGAAGACAGGAGGACCAGACTTAATTTTCTTAAAATTTCTTAAAACAATACAATCAAGTGGATAATAATTGGTGCTTGACAGAAATTTAGGTTCACACAACCCAGGCAACCGGGGTGTGTGTCCTCTGGAAACAGCTTGGGCTTGCCAGCCGCTAAAGTAGTTTAATTACCACAATTGGGTATTCAAATGGGAAGGGCTGTGTAAATCAAATTTAAAAAAAAACAAAAAAAAAAACAATCTTAATTCAGAATTTTCCAGAGTTCATGGCAAATTAGTCCTACTGAAGATAGCCTAGGACTAGATAGCTTTGTGACATCATTAGATGTCTATCTGAAGCTTGACTGTTAGTTTGATCAAAGCCATATAGTCAAAGTCTATCTTTGTGAAACTGAACACAGGTCTTACAGAACTAAAATCTGCCTTGGTGAAAAACTGAAACCAATAAGCAAGACGATACAAAGCCCTGTAAAGCTGAGGGGAACCTCAAAGTCTGGTGATAACTCTGTGTGGTGTCATCTCTTGGTGACCCTTCTCACATGCAAGTCGACATTCAAACTAATTAATATGAAAATATTGATTACAGCTGTTTGACTAGGCTGGTCATACTGTAGATGTTTTTCTATTGTGACATGTTCTTTCAGTGTTTGTTTATTTTCCAAATTGATCAGTTAACTCATGTTCAACCTCTTGTACAATAGGAAGAAAATTGGTGATTTGGAGATCGACAAGAGGGAGCTGATTGGTGTCTTTGGTAAAACCGGGGCTGGAAAGAGCTCTCTGATAAATGCTGTCATTGGAGAGAAGAATCTCTTGCCTTATGGGAGGGTCAAAGCATGTACCTCAGTCATGATTAAAGTGGAGGCTAACATGCTACACCAAAGATATGAGGCAGAAATTGAGTTCATTACAAAAGAGGTAAAATTAGTTAAAAATACTGTATTTATGTTCACTTGAAGCAAACTGAAAATTAGCTGCAAAAATATAGTTGCTGATTATTTCACATGATATTTGAATTACACTGAAATAAATTAATTCATTTTAAGGAGTGGAAAGATGAGTTGTGGTCCTTGTTAAATTTCCTTGGGGATAATGCCAATCGAGAAGATGATCAGGAAGATGACGAGGATCAGGACACTGTTGACAAGCTGTCAGCGCTGTATGGAGAAGAATGGAGAGACAAATCCCTTGAAAACCTCATAGATAACAAGTACTTTAAAGAAGTTCCAGAATTTCTCCAATCCAAGAGAAAGCTTTTGACATCTGAATCAGTGAGTAAGATAAGACTTTTGTCTTTTTTTGGAGGGGGACAGGGGATCCTTAGCTCAGCTAAGGATCAGCGCTGTGTGTCAAGTTTTTCCAGGAACAAATCTGTAATAAACATTGTATTTGGGTTATGCACTTTTTTAAACTTTGAAAGTTTAGAGTGTATAGGGGCTTATAACATTGTGATAGAAAAATGCCCGTGCTCAATTATATCTCTTAAGTTGTTGCAATAATTTTTGGGTTGATACCATTTGTTACAGTTGCAAGATAAGATATGAGGGGTTTCCAGATTTTATTAAATTGTTGAAGCCTATCGTTCAGGACAAATCCTATCCTTTCCAAATGGAGTGTATTAGTTAAGTCCTCTAGCCACATCTTGGAGGTAGGGACAGATGTGTTCTTCCATAGTATGAGAATTAGTTTCTTTGCTGTTATGAGGCAATAAGAGAGAAAACGTTGCTGTGTCACGTTTATCTTTCTGAAGATTTCAGATATCCCAAGAATAATGAGCAGAGCCCACAGGCTTAATCCTGGTGTTCATGACCATAGACATTATGTTGCAGATATCAATCCAAAAAGATTGTATCTCTGGACATAGAGCAAATCTATGTACAAGTGTTGCCGCAGAAGATTGACATTTGTCACACATAGATGACACCTCTGGGTTTATACTATGTAGTTTCTCCTTTGAATCGTAAAGCCTGTGTATAATTTTAAAGTGGATGAGACAATGTTTTGCATTGTTTGAGCAAGTATGTATATTCTCAAGGCTTTTTTTCCCCATAAATCATCTGAAATTAGTTCACCAAATTCTCCTTCCCACTTCTACTTGAAATTTTTTGGAAGAGGGAGAATTCGTTGATAAAAGAGTATTGTAAATGTGGGAAATCAACTTACTTTCATTTGGTGACAGTTTCAGACAATCATCTATTTTTGATTGCGTTCCAGTTTCAAAATCTTTTAATTATTTCCGTATGTAATCTCGAACTTGTAGGTAACGAAAAAAGTTATTATTCTCCAGTCCATATTTCTAATAGTAATTATTTAATCCCAATAAGCAACTTAACTTCCCAGCAGGACCCGCGGAGTACCACAAGGATCAGTACTTGGCCCACTTCTATTCAGTCTATTGATGGTTCCTATTTTTAAAGTCTTTACAAATTAACGTCAGTTTTTGCACTTATGCTGACAAACCACAAATCTACATTTCTCTTTCACATTTTCCCATTGAATCACTGTCAGTGCATTGAACAAATCATTGGTTTGCTAAATAAAGACAGAACTGGGGTGACTGTGTCTATCTGGCTGTTTAAATCTAAAGGTTTTGCAATTGTGACAGTTTTTAAGTTCCACTGTGTAAGAACCTGTTAGCCACCAATTAGCACTGAAGAAATGATTAATCCACTTCATATTTATTACTAGGCCTATTTATGTAAGTAATTTAATCTTTTTTCTTTAGTTGGGATCTAAGTCTTAACACAGACCAGACCTCGTAACAGATCTCCAATTATAGTATCAAAATGGCTATCGGAAATAATTAATAATTATTGATAATTATTATTAATTATGTCAAATAATGTGACCTAATTTACAAATAAACCACCTCGTGGGGAACCATTCCCGCTAAGGGAAAATGATAGCCAGTTAATGATATCAGTTTCATAAAGTTCACCAAACTATCAATTTGGAATTTTTAATATTAAATAACCATAACCAAAATTAATAGTAAAGCCCAAAGCATTTTGGAGTTCTTGACATAGCAGAGGATGACCATTCATTCACTCTTGTGTAACATTAAACAGACAGCAGGTGTGATTCCAAATGCATTTATTCACAAAGAAAGCAAAGCGAGAGAGAGAGAGAGAGAGAGAGAGAGAGACTCAAGCCTCTAGTTTCGCAGACCAGGCAAGGCGGAGGCGCACCGCACCTGCGCTTCGCCAACTGGGTGTGGCCAGGCGGATTTTGCAAGCTACGTATCAGCAATGGTATCCTTCGCAGCTACTCCTCTTTCCCACCTCCGTCTCTCCTACCTGCGCAAGTCGGAAAGAGGGAGGAGAGAAGGCGTGGAGTGGGTTTTACACAGCCGATTCACATCACACCAATCAAATGAGCCCTCTCCTTGTCCTTAAATGCACCACGCGAAGGCGTAATGAGAGTACTCAATTCGCCATGGCAGAAGAGAGCAGCAGCGTCAGACGGCCAAACTTCTCCCAGGAGGAAACTGATGTTTTGGTCCGGGAGGTCCAAGCTTGCAGTGTCCGAATATACGGAACTGCGAGCAGACCTCCACGGGCTGATGATGCATAGCCTGTAAAATGAACTCGTCTTTCCCAATTGAATTGTGATCATTTTGGCATGTAAATCACAAAAACAAAGATGTGAAAACGTTTGATAAACTTTATTTTGACACAAACACAACAATAACCAGCTTCTGTGAACTAAAAACGTAAACTTAGAGCCCTACAAGTACAAATGTATATTTAAAAAAAAAAAAAAAAAAAAAAAGCTTTTAGAACGTAAAACTGAAGATCATCTTGTCAGGAGGAGGAGGAGGAGGAGGAGGAGGAGCCGGGCAAGCCGGGGGCACAATAAATTTGTTGACAGCGTTTCTCTCGTGCGCGCTCTCTCTTTCTCTCTCACAGTCTCACTCTGTTTCTTTTCTTTTGACCTTTCTAAGATGACAGATGCTGAATATATACTCCCTATCTGATACTGTGGCTGTTTGTGGTTGGCTGAGAGGGATGTGAACTCATTAGTTTGCAGCCGTGTTAATCAAATCAGGTTGGGTTTCCATTACGCGTGCCAAACGGTGCCAGTCCCCTTTGATCTGACAAACAATCCGGCAAAGCCTTTTGGCACGAAACTGTCACTGCGGCAAACTGGATCTGTCAACACCTCCCCCTACTGCGCCGCCACACCCATCTGAGCGCACCTCGGTCTGCCAAACTACCAAACTGAGCGCGCCTCGGGTTGCGCTGCTTGAAACTAGCTCTGCACGGGGTTCGCCACCCTGCGCCACCCTGCGCTGCGCCGGGAAACTAGAGGCCTCAATGTGTGATTATGTATGTGTGTGCAATTTGTGTGGCAAAGGTACTGGGATAGTACAGAGGATGATTAGTTGCATGCAAGACTAGCAAACTATCACTTAGCTTTGGTGAAGCCAACTAAACAATAACCCCACAGCAAACAATTACAAGAATAACTCAATAAACAGCACAAAATCACAATTGACAACGTTAAACAGTCTTGCTTAGCCTGTACAACCATACTAAAGTTATGCCCAGTTGTTACATTACCAATCCTAGAATGGATGGAGGGAAGAGTCGCTTTGTGGTGTGCTGCTTTTGTTAGCTGGCAGATGAAAGCTGGAAAGAGCTGTGGTTCCAGAAGCAGTCTTTGCTGCGTCCTTGTTCTGAAGGTGCAGATTCGAGGAGCCTGGTCGCTCGGTGTCCTTGCAGAGTTAGATACTGGGGTGCTAAATGAACTTGGTTCTCCTTGTTACTGGAAAGTCAGTTGCAAACCTTGTGTTTGGCACACTGACTTCTCTGGTCTTCAGGTTCTGCTCCTGCTGTGGGCATACAGGGGTGTGAAAACAGGGGAAGGGCGTAGCAGGTCCTCCTGTCTATGTTGTACCTCAGCTGAGGTCCAGGAGCAAGAGAGCAAGAGTCTAAGGAGCAAGAGCTTGTCAGCAGCTCAGGAGAAAAGAGAAAAGAGTCTTGGAGCAAGTGCACCCTTCAATGGTTCAGGGACAAGTGTGTGAGGAGAGCAAAACTTTGAACAAGTTTGCTCGGTGACATCACAGAGTCATGTGTCACTGTGAAAGTACTGTCCAATCAAGTTTAATGACTGCTCTATCACTTGTGGAGAGATAGCTGTTTGAAACAAAGAACATGCAGTCTCAGTCAACATCTCAGATGACAAGACCCAGAGAAAAGCCGATGTCCAGTTTAGATTTTAACAAATGACAAATCATCTGTGGACCACTGAATGCTACTTTCAAAGATAATGCCTCTCACTTGCTCTCCTTTTTATCCTATCCTCTTGTAATTTTTTTATGAGTTTGTGCATACAAATGAAATCGCCTTGCGTTGCCTTAATCTGATTGTATTGTTGATTGCAGGCTAAAGAGCTATCTGCAAAATTAGTCAAATACACAAGGAGTGAATCAAACGATGGAGAAGGAAAAGAAGTAAAGAAGTGGTATTGGCCCCTGGTGAAGTGTGTGACTGTGAGGGTGCCTAACAATGATCTTCTCCAGCATGTCACACTTGTGGATCTTCCTGGAAATGGGGACCGTAACAAGAGCAGAGACAAGATGTGGAAAGGGGTAATTTATTCACATGTAGTGCTGTTTATTGTGTCTTACTCTGTTATCTGGAAACTTATCATTGTTTTTTACATAGCACTGATAATTGATTATTCATTATTGACTTGTTATTACGTCCCTTCAGGTTGTTGGAAGTTGCTCTACTGTGTGGATTGTGACTGAAATTAATCGAGCAGCAACAGAGACTGAAGCCTGGGACATCCTGAAAAGTACCTGTAGCCTCATCGGAAATGGTGGTGAGTGTCAGCGCATCCACTTCATCTGCACCAAGTCTGATGATATTGGAGATACGGATGATCAGTAAGTGATTTAAGCTGCCAAAAGTAAATAGTTTAATATAACATTCTAATTAGACATTGAGGCATATGGTGGCTCTATTATGTTGTTTTTGTATATGCATGTGTGTTTATGTTTTTTTTACATTTGCAGAATATGTAGAATAGTGTTCTCAAATAAGAAATGAGTTTCTGCATTTGTTTGTCTTTTCAGTATTAGCAACCAACATAACACTATATTTTACCAGGCCCAAAGCTTCCTAAAATTGGAAGGAACTGATATCTAACTATAAATTATTGGGAATTTATAAAAATTATGTAATATAAAATTTGGTGCGAATATAGGGAAATTAAGACACTGGTCACTTGAATCACTTCCAGTTAATTAATTAGTTAATTGAATTCATAGTGTAACCTAGACAGTCTTTTAGTCCGTGCATGGTAGGTCAGCTGAATATAAAAACACTTGATATTTGTCTGCAGGCTGTAAGCCAGTTTAACATATAAAACATAAAGTTCCTAATAATAGGTTAATAGATAAATATCGAATAGTTACTTGGCTTAAAATGAGTTCTTTCAAGGAAATTTCTGTAGAAACAACAATTACTTGTAAACGCAACACAATTAATTTAACTAAAATAGCAGTCTCTAAACTTTGTCTTTTTCCCTGAAATGATTACCAAAACATTTTGTAGAAAATCACAGACTTTGTTACCTTTTCTGTATGAATGGTAGAGTTGTTGGTAACAAAAGTGTTTTATCCTGAGATGAGAGAAGACCACTCTGCAAGCTGGAATTTCAGGTTTAATTTCTCCAAATACTGTATGAGGTGTCACTTCATAAAAGTATTTTCTTACAGTTCAAAAGATGCTGTTCGTGCTCTCATATTTAAAAACAACATGCAAGCCAAGGAAGAAGTGAAAAAAGAGTTCAGAAAACTCAAGGAGTTTAAGGTGAGTTGAATAGACTAACAGAAAATGAAACACAACAATTTTCTACAACTGCAAGCCTGATGTAAAATCAATCTTTTTTTCAGAAACATTTCAGTGATGAAAGTTTCAAAGTCTTCACAGTGAGCTCCAAAGAGTTTCTGAAGCAAAAACGTCTGACGCCACAGGAAACTGGTAGGTGACGTCTCATACTGTATATGAGCCCTCTGTGGATAATAGAAAATGCTCCAACACATTTTGTTTTAGTTTACTTTCACCACTTTAACTAAAACAAAAATAACTAATTGAATTTTGACATTTGAATTTAAGTATGTAGTTTAAGTATGTAAGATGTAATCTGAATTTTTTTTACAGAAATACCCAGACTTCAGGAATTTCTGCAAAAGCTCAATGACTGTCACTCAGAGACATTAAACTATGTGTCTGGAGCTCATGGGATCCTCTCTCTGATTCACGGGGCCAGAAGTAGAGCAGGGGTAAGATCAAGTCAGGCTGAATGTCCAGTGTTTTTTTCTGAGTGGCAGCGTCTCTATTCAGTTGTTCCTAATGAGGAGAGAACGTGAAGGTGCTGTACCCAGCATCTCTGACTCTTTTGCGCGGCCACTTCAAGCACTCCTACTTGCAACATCTCTAAACATTTCCGTGTCCATCTATCCCGAGCTGTATGAGATGTCAGATAGAGAGAATCACAACAAAGACAGTTCAGCATTTTTTGAGGCAGGGGCCTGTTTCATAGAGCGTGCTTAGAAAAATGGGGATTTAAGATTTTGCCCCAATCAGCTTTCGGGGTGAGGGACTGCTGGCAAGCTGTTGCCGCGCCTCCTCCGCTGTTTTTGTTGTTTAATCTCAATATATTGAAAGTTGTCCTGTATAAATGTTGGACTCTAAACCCATCTGTTAGATTCGGCTTGTTCGATCTAACACTCTGCGACACTGAAACAGCAGTTCAACAGTCTCTACCTGTCTGCTGCTACTGCCTCGCCACTTGTTAGTCAGAAGCTAGATCCGCCGGTTAAGGGCTCACCTGTACGGGACTCCTGGGGCTCCTCTCCGCATTCTGTGGCTGGATAGCCTGTTCTGGTGTGCCCCATGAAGCACACCTCTTCGCCACTGCCACCCTGCCAGCTCTCCTGGGCCCTTACCTGTGCCCGTGGATTGCTGTCAACGCGGTGGACGCCCCCTCCCCGGTACATGGTGTCCGCCTGCCAGCCGGCTAGCCTACTGCTGATCCCCGGCGCCGACCAACTGGTTTCCCTGTCTCCAGCGAAGCTACAGCCAACGCACTCCACTCCTCCACCTCAGCCGCCCTGGTTCTGAGGCTTCAACATACTCAACTGGATTTTCTACCGCTGGATTACGCCGCTGCCGATCTCCCATCATGTGGATTTTTAAACTGTTCATCTGGATCGCTCTGTCTTTCATTCTCACGAGCTGACTCTGCCACTCCGTTACTCAGTAACGGAGATGTTACATCTCCAGACCTTCTCCAGGACTTCTCCACCTCAGCTCGCACACCACCACATTCTCAAACGATCAAGATATATCCAATGAAGCTCTGGACGGAACCTAGATATTTTATGCCTCACTGAGACATGGCAACAACCAAATGACTTCTCCCAGCTTAATGAGGCTGCCCCACCGGGTTTTTCTTTTATTAGTAAACCCCGTGCTACTGGGAGGAGGGGGCGGCCTCACTCTCCTTCACCGTGATAGCATCAAAGTCACTGCTGTCCCTGTCCCCAATCACTCCTCTTTTGAATGTTTAGCTGTAAAACTCACAGGCCCCAAACCCACTATCATTGTTACCATCTACAGACCACCAAAACCCTCCACTGTTTTCCTCAATTAATTCTTATCACTACTAACATCTGTATGTGCAATGTCCCCCACTGTTATCCTCCTCGGAGATTTCAACATCCACATTGACGACCCATCCAGTATCTTTGCAAATGACCTCACATCACTCCTGGACTGTCTCGGCATCACACAACTTATCAACCTCCCAACCCATAACAAAGGTCACATATTGGACTTAATCTGCTGCCCTGACATCACTCCCACAAACCTTGCTGTCACCGATTTCCCCATTTCTAACCACAAAGCTGTACTTTTTGACATTCACACCCAATTACACAAAGCCAAAGAACAACAGACCATCTCCTTTAGAAACATCAAACACATCAACACCACAGATCTTTCCAACCCGATCAGCTCCTAAATCTTCATACTACTCCAACCTCATCAACACTGGCACAGGTAACAACAGAGTCCTCTTCTCAACAGTCAGCCACCTACTTTAGCCTCCTAAAACCCTCCCTCCAGACATTTCCACTGATCAGTGCACTGCCTTCCTGGACTTCTTCAGCTCCCAAATCAACACCATTCACCAACAACTGGCCTCATCTTGCACCTCCTCAAATGATCCACCCTGGATGATCACCACTGGTTTCCGGTTTCCGTCCAAAACACAGCACTGAAACAGCCCTGGTCAAAATCACCAATGACCTCCGTGCAACCGTCTCCGGACTACTCACCATTCTCATCCTCCTGGACCTCAGCGCAGCATTCGACACCATCTCCCACCCACTACTCCTGGACTGCCTGGCTGGTATTGGGATCACTGGTGTTGCACTCTCCTGGTTCACATCATACCTCACTGACCATCAACAATTTGTACAATTAAGGAACCACAAGTCTGGGTGTTCGGGTGTTTCACTGGGTGTCCCCCAGGGGTCAGTCTTGGGTCCACGTCTCTTCATCATCTACCTCCTCACCATGGGGTCCATTTTCACTGCTACGCTGACGACACACAGGTCTATATCTCCTCCAAACCCACCACTGCCATCCCTCCCACCTCCCTCACCACCTGTCTTGAAGACATCTGGAGCCAGATGAGCAGGAACTTCCTGAAGATAAACTGCAGTAAAACCGAGGCCCTGCTCATTGGCTCCAAATCCACCCTCATCAAGTCAGAGCACACCCCAGCTCCACCCATCATCATCGACATATTCCCTGTACCCTTCTCCTCCCAAGTCAAGAGCCTCAGCGCCATTCTGGACAGCACCCTCTCATTTGCGCCTCATATTCAAAACATCACCCAGACTACATTCTTTGTCCCTCCGCAACATCTCCAGACTCTGCCCATCACTGTCCCAGTCCAGCACCGAAATCCTGGTTCACTCATTTGTCACATCCCACATCGACTACTGCAACGCCCTCCTCACTGGCCTCCTCATCAAACTCATCAGCAGACTGCAAATCATTCAGAACTCGGCCGCCCAGATCACCACCTGCACCAAATCATCTGACCACATCACCCCTGTTCTCATCCAACTTCACTGGCTCCCTGTACAACACCGCATCCACTACAAAAACCTTCTCCTCATCTTCAAAGCTCTCCACAATCTAGCCCCCACTTACTTCTGTGACCTCCTTCAGGAATACACCCCCTCCCTCACCCTCTGCTCAAGTACCATGGGTGCCCGAGCCTTCAGCTGCTACATATGCAGCCTTTGCATATGTACATAGATGCACACATCCCCATAAAAACACATATAAGCAAACATGTATATATGTGAATATAAGCATACATAAACACCTTTAAAATCTTACAATTTTATATAAATGCGAGTCTGTGCAGGTGGGTCTAACAACTTTTTAAACAAAGGAACTGAGTCAGCTGATTTAATGAGAGAGATAAATTTGGTGCGAAAATAATTAAAGTGTGATCACCCTTTGATATAAGTCTGGACCGTGGGACTTTTAACAACATTTGGTTTTCTGATCTGAGGGATCCTGAAGCAGAATAGGGGGTTAAGGGCTCTGAAATGTAAGGCGGAGCCAGACCATGGAGGGATTTAAAAAGTAATTAATAGAACCTTAAACTGAATTCTGTACTGCATGGGGAGCCAGTGTAATTCAACCAACACCCTTAATGTGCTGATTGAAGTTAAGGTATGGATCAAAGATGACTCCCAAGTTTCTAGCGAGTGTTGTGTGCAAGTTGTTAGTGATCCAAGGTAGGGGGTGACACTGTTGGAGGTGTGGTCATGACCAATAACCAGGACCTCTGTCTTATCTGTGTTAAGCTGTAGGAAGTTGGAAGCCATCCAGTCCTCAATGACAGCAAGGCAGCAGTGCAAAGAGTCCAGGTTGCGATGATTTCCAGGGCTAAATTAGATGTACCACTTAGAATCATCAGCGTAACAGTGGCATGACACAGAGATGAAATTGTGAATAACATGGCCAAGGGGTAAAATATACAAGCTAAACAGAATAGGCCCAAGGATTGAGCCCATGACATTAGAGCAGTTGATGAACTGAAGTTGTCAACAATGACTTTGAACTTTCTATTTGACAAATGGGATGCAAACCACTTAAGAGCAGTTGCACTTAGCAACCAGCCCAGTTTCTGAGTCTGTTGAGTAAATTCATGTGATCAACTGTATCAAATGCTGCAGTCAAGTCCAGTAAAATGAGAATGGTATGGTTTCCTGAGTCTGCACTCATTAAAATGCCATTTGTTACTCTAAGTAGAGCAGTTTCGATACTGTGGTTCTTTCTGAAGCCAGATTGGAATTTATCAAATATATTGTTTTCTTCTACTCTTTCTAGAAGTTTCTGAGCAACCATTTTCATAAATTTTTCATATTAGCGGTAATTTGCATACTGGACGGTGATTACTGGGCAGTGTGGGATCTAAATCAAGTTTCTTAAGGAGAGGCTGGATACAGGCCTGTTTGAAGTAATCTGAGACCTTGCCAGACAAAACAGATTTATGAACAAATTTTAAAAGCCATGGGGCAATGACTTCAAAAATCTTTTTGAAAAACTTGAAATAAACAAGTCTCTCAGTCTTTATCAGAGAGTTAAATGATGACATTAACTCTCAATGGGAGTCGATGGATTTGATGTTTAGTTGTTTTCCATTGCCGTTTGGCTCTTCTGCATTCTCTTTTTAGTTTTCTAATTTTTTCATTTATCCAGGGCCTTGGGTTTGAGGGATGACATGACCTAACTTTCAACAAGGCCATTTGGTCTAAAGTTCTCAAGTAAATACTGTTATAATAAATAACCATATCATTTACATTGTTCCACTGGGTCATACATTCATCAGCACTGAAGATGGCGGCAGAGTCTATAGCTGAGTTGCTATGTAGAATCTGAGTGAACACAGTTTGCTGAGACCCAGGAGTGACAGAAATGCAGTTTATGTCAAATAAAACCATTTAATAAAATCTCTCAAGCAGACGGAGTTCATGTCTAAACCCAGGGTAGAAACCAAATCAAGTGTGTGGCCCTGCTCATGCGTAGGAGATTTTACATGCTGTTTTAAATTAAAGTATTCACATTTAGATAAAAACGCAAAAGTAAAATGATTATCAGGGTGGTCAACATGAATGTTAAAATCACCAACCAATAAAATGCAGTCATAACTAATAACAGTTGCCGAGATAAAATCAGAGAATTGTGATTAAAAACTACTATTGGGTTCAGGAGGGCGATAGATGGCAATACAACACACAGGGATGTCAAAATGTATTCTCAAGATTAGTGCTTCAAAGCTGGGAGGCTTCTCTACTGTGATGAGAGTACAGTTTAAATCTTTTGTATAGATGACTGCAGGTCCACCTCACCTACCACTGAGCCTTGGGGCGTTTAAAAACATGTAACGAGGAGGAGGACATAATTCTGAAAATGCACTTAAATCGGCAGTTCTAAGCCAAGTTTCAGTTAAGAAGATAAGGTCTGATTTACTGGTTGAGATAAAATGGGTGGCCATTACTCAATAGAAACAGAATTTCATGAATAAATAAAGAATCAATATTGTCCCCAAAGAAAAACAAATCAGGTAGCAGTATAGTTTCACTGCTTTAAATACTGAATGTGTTGTATTTGATTTCAGGCTGACAGAAACACAGATGTGTGCAGAGAGCTGGAAGAAAAGATGAAGCAGGAACTTAAAAAAATTAGACAGCCCATGCAGAAGACTTATGACACCTTTGAAAGATGCCTCACTGAGGGAGTTAAAAAATCCAAAAGTTCCTGGGAAAGACTCTTGAAGTCGGTCTTACATCCTGTACGTATTTGAATCATAATCACATCAAAATAACTGATTTTGGATCACATGTGAATTTATATCTTTAACATGTTTCTGTTTTATTTATTTATTTTTCCAGAGAATGAAGGGGAGTGCTTTTCATGGGATACTGAAGTGTGTAGTTCAGAATGGCGGCACTCACAAACCAAAGAACAAAAAACTAATAAACCTCAATATGAAGTTAACTTCATGCCTGACTGACAGCATTGATGAGGAATTCAAGAAGACCTTCCCGTAAGAAATGACCTCATGAAAACATAGTTGGCTATTCTTTACAATCTATGGAGACTCTGAAATTCTGCATCATACAGTTTTACAGATTATGTAATATAATGCATTAATACAAATTATATTATCAAAACACAAACTTGTCAACACTTCCTGTATGAAACATTTCAAACTGTTAACATGTTTCAGAAATGAAGCAAAATGTGGACCATTCAATGGGATCATCAACTCGTTTTCACTTGAAACAGAGAGGCTGATGAGAGAGAGGCAAGAGTACAAAGATGTCGAACTGCAACTGATATTTCTCAAGACAGAGGTAAAAGTTGACGATGGTACTGTCTTATAGCAAGCGTATTTCTCAGTTAAAACTGACCCAATGAAAAATGAACAACTGCTGCAAAGCCGACACATCCCCCCAATGTCGAAGAAGATTTTGGACCTAAGTCGACAAAAGATATGTGCACCCTCACATGGTGGAAAACAGGTCCTAACCTGACAATTAGTTTAAACAATTTACTGCTTGTCATCGAAAAATACAATGAACAAAGTTAAATGCAACACTTCTGTTTTTGCTCCCAGTTTCACAGGTTTAAGTTAAAGACTTCTAAGACTTGTTATGCACTCAGTAGATACATATCTCAAATTTGTTCAAGTCTGATTTAATGGGCACTTCTTCTTTTCTAAGATAATGCATCCACTTGATAGGTGTGGCATAGGCATATCAAGATGCTGATTAAACAGCATCATTACTACACAGGTGTGCCTTGGGATGGTCACAGATAAAGGGCCACTCTAAAATGTGCAGTTTTATGACACAACACAATGCCACAGATGGCGCAGGTTTTGATGGAGCCTGCTGTTGGCATGGTGACTGCAGGGATGTCCACGAGAACTGTTGTCTGTGAACATGACCATAAAAGTGGCCTTTTATCGTGATCATCCCTAGGCACACGTGTAATGATGCTGTTTAATAGTCACCATCCTGTATAATGTCTCCTGACCTACATAATGATGTGATCATTCAATGACTTGTCTTGTTTTTGCATTTTGTGTGGACCCCTGGGAGGGTTGTTGTTACTGTGGCAACAACTAGCGGGGATCCTGAATAAAGAATAAAGAATCTGTATAATTTGTGGTCTCTCTAAGGAAGAAAAAATGAAGACAAAACTCAACAAAATCATCCGGAAGCAAAAGAAAATGATCTACAACAGTCTGATGGAGACAATCGAGGAAAACATGAAAGAATGCTACAGAAGTAAGATAGTAGACTTTGACATATACAACCTGACACAATATTACTACATACCTACATTTAATGTGATTGCGCTGAAAAATGTAATTGACATAATTTAACTGTTTTATTTTAGAAGCAGCAGAAATTAGAGGAGAAGGCTCGCTGAAAAACATGAGGAGCACTATTGAGAACCATGTACGAGATTCAAAGGACATCATGTTTCAGAGGGCGAAAAATGTTATGTTGGAGCAGCTGAGAAACTTGATGGTTTGTCACATTTTAATGAGATTTAATGAGATTTAATCCAATTGACTTCAAACCTTGGTCTGTCCCACACCAGACCTTGAAGAAGAAAGATTGTTCAAATCTTGAGTTTTTTTGCAATGCGTGTGACCGTGGGATGGCGTCAGACTTAGGGGACTTGCCATGAAACAAGACTATTCAAGAGAAGGCTGAGACACGGGGTCAAACATGGGAGGATTGCACATGCGCAGTAAAATCTGGTCTGCACTTCCTCAAAGGCTCAGTAGATGGCGTGAGACCGCAGAATAAGGAGGATGTGCATGCATGTCATTTTCACAGCTTATTATTGGACTGTCACTGGTGGCCTGCATTGTGGGTGAGAATGACAGAGATGCAATTCCGACAACTTCAGGCAGCTGCCTTCCAAAAGTCCAAGCAGATCGCACCAAGCCACTCCTTGATCGCCTGAGCGGATCCTGCGCTTTTTATCTAGCTCCCCTGCTGTCACCCTCCAACATCGCAGCTCAAGTTACACTGCGCATGTGCAATCCCCCCATGTCTGACCCCGTGTCTCAGCCTTCTCTTGAATAGCCTTGCCATGAAACAGGAAGCAAACAGGAAGTAGTTTATAACTCCGGTTTACATTGACCAGTCCTACCCAAACTTCACAGAATTAATGACAGTCCCGCCCTGAACACATCTACAGGTCAATAATTGGTGATAAATATAGCGCCCCCTACTGACAAGAGGAAAAGTCATGTTTTAGACTTTGATGAATATCTTCTACAAAGTTGACCAGACCCACCTCAAACTTGGTCAAAAAAGTCATAAGATGGCGGCAAATTTTGGTTTCACTGTGATGATAAATGTTGCTGTAACTTGACTCCACGTGGGAATATCTTTCCAAAACTTCACACATATGATGACAGTCCAGCCCTGAACACATCTACAGAGGAAATTTGAATCACCATCATAGCGCCACCTACTGGCAACAGAAAGTCACTTAGTTCATTCTTTGATGTCCCTCTTCTAGCAGCTTAATCAAATGTACATCAAATTTGCTGATAAAAAGTCCTAAGAACTTGATGACACTTAAAAATTAAACTCTTGAGTTTTCATTAAAAGCTGTCACCGTGGCGCCGCCTTATTCGGCATAAAACACAAAGTTGTTTTTAAGGGGCAAGGGATGCTTGAAAACTCACCAAATGAGGCACACACATCAGAGTTCCCAATTTGTGCTGTCCGATGTGATTTTTGTGCTTGATGTGCCAAGATGGCTCAACAGCGCCCCCTAGAAAATTTCAATAAAGTAGCCCTCGAAGCTGATTTGACCTGCATGTATGGAACTTGGTAGGCCTCTGTAACACTCTAAAACGCCATGCTCCAAACCCAACAGGAAGTCTGCCATTTTGAATTTACTTGTGCCACTTTTGTGCATTTTTTGCCATTTCCCAGGCTTGTAAAATACAAACTTGTCCTAGAGATTTTATCTGATCGACTTCAAACCTTGGTCTGTCCCACCCCAAGACCTTGAAGAAGAGAACTTATTCGAAGCTTGAGATTTCGTGAAACTGTGTGACCATGGCAAGGCGTTTAACTTCCATGTGTAGCCAAAAACAGGAAGTGGTTTGTAACTCCAGCATTCATGGTCCAATCTTCCCCAAACTTCACAGGATTGATGACAGTAAGTCAATATTTACTGACGAGTACAGCGCCACCTAGCGGCGACAGGAAGTACGTCTTTTCAAACACTTATTTTTTGATTTACCTGACATTCACATGCTGTGGTCTATATTTCATGTATAGGAACATCAGATATCATTAGTGCCTTCTCCTACTCCCTCTAGTGAGTAGAGGAAGTGGTTCAAAATGTGAAATACTCATCTCAGGACTGAATGAAGGACATGCCATCTCACTACTTTATGTACTGTCTGACTTTGATAGAAATTAACCTGCATCCTGCCAGCACCGCCGAGTTGCGTGAAGGTGCGAGGGCCCGTTCATTGCTGCTTGTAGAAAATGTTGACAGAAGTAATCTGTCAACTTTAGTAGTAATCATATTGTGAAAGTTTGATTGAAATGAACAGATAGGGGGTGCTACACATGCAAAAAGGTTATATCTCATGATCAGCCAAAGATAGTTTAACAAAACTTAGTTTGCATCATCTACGGTCATACACAAAATTTGCAAATTACTGCTTTAGGGGGTGGGGCTTAATACGTTAAATCCTAAATTTCAAGACATTTCACTTTCCATACTTCAGAAAATCCTAATTAATCACCACTGTGTTCTGCAGAGCTGGAAGTTTTTCACCATATCCACTGAATTGTGACAAAAAAGGGGCGTGGCTCAGCAAATGACTCCACAACGTTTGGACCAATCATCACAAATTTTGCAAGCAATGTTTTAAGAGGTACCAGGCACATATCCTGAAAGTTTTATTCAATTTGACCATTAGGGGTCACCACAAATACAAAAAATGGGCAAGCAGTAACACAAATCAGACTAGAAATTAGAAATTGATTGTCCAATCATTACAAAACTTGCGGGGTATGTTAAATGATAATTACCAACCACGTGTATTATTTTAAAACTGGTTACTAGGGGGCACCAGAAGTCCCAAACAAGTGTAATGGCCTTTCACAACATTCAGCCATAAATCTATGAGGGTTTTTTCAAACATCATCAAACTCGGTGGACTTTTTTAATCAAGCCATTAAAGCATGTCCCCAAAATGTTCCTGTACTTGACCAGTAGGAAGTGACAGTGCTGCAAAAGAAGAGCGTGGTCTTGTAAAGATTTGGACATATTAATGAGCATCTGTCTGATTGTCATAAAACTGTTGGTAATCTTTAATGCAGGCATCCTGAACTGTCAAAGTTCTTGATTCTACCCAAGTGTTAAATGTCAATGCTGGCTTGAACCCTGGAATCATAGCTTGCAGCTATAATTGTATTTGCATTTGTGGTGCCTCCTGGTGGTCATTTTGAATAGAACTTTCAGGGTATATTTCAGGTACTTACGTTGACATATTTTACAAGTTTCATGATGATCAGCCCAAGTGTTGTTGAGGTTTGGTCTATTCGTGTACTGAGCTACGCCCCTTTTGAAGTTCATTGGTCAGTATCTTCTAAACAATCAGATATCAGAAGATTTTGATAACTCTTGATGAACTTGGTCTGATGATGATCCACAGAAAAGTTGGTACAAATCAGACTCATGGTTTAAGAGGAGATATCAGAAATTTGTTTTTCTAAAAAAAAATCAAACTTGTGTTGTGGTGTAAATAATTTTACACACTTGCTTCAACATTATTATTTAACATATCCTGCACGTTTTGTAATGATTGGACGAAAAACAATTTTGATTTATAGCCTGATTCATGTTATGCCTTGCCCATTTTTTCTTGCATTTGTGTGCCCCCTAGTGTTTGATTTAAATGAAACTTTCAGGTTATGTTGCTGGCACCACTTTAGGCATTTCCTGCAAGTTTTGTGTTGACGGTTATGGAGTTAGGTCTATTTTTGTGCTGAGCCATTCATTGTGTCAGTATCTCAAAACACCATGAGATATCAACAAGCTTTTCAGAAATTGTGACATGCTTGGTCCAGCGAAGATCCATAAAAAATATGATGCAAATTGGACCAATGTTTTACAAGGAGATGTCAAAAAATGTGTTTTTTCAAAGAATTCAAAATGCTTAAAAACCTTACGAGCTGACCCTGATAGGTTTTGAGGATTTTTTGTAGGACACACTGAGCTGGACTTGTGAATCTCATTTCAAGCCAATCCCACTTACTATGTAGGAGATGTAACTATTAAAGATAACCTTCAATTATAGTGCCCCCATCAGGCTGCTGGATATTTCTTGGGCAGCAACTGCACACAACCTCCAATCATTTAAGAAAATTTGATTGGTCTACGATGCACCATCTCACAGGAATTTGCAAAACAACATTCTGAAGAAAAATAATAATAAAAATAATGATAATAATAAACTGATACAGACACAATAAGGCTTTAGCCCTTTGAGCTTAAACCCCCCATTAGCCAATATGCCCAGTCTGAGCTGCTCTCTGAACACACATCTAAACAGTTCATTCATGTTAGATTGAGTTCATCTTGAACACAATATTTGGCTGTGTGAGTGAAGAGTGATGAGGAATTTGTTAATTTAGGTGCTGATCCTGAGGGAGCTGATGCAAACAATGCAGGAATCAATCGAGCTGTCACTCAATACAGATGGTGACTCAATCCCAGGTAAATGGACAACACGCAGAAATAGCCATTGCTCAGTGCGTATCACACCTTAGCGAAAGGTGCCTCTTTATGTCTGTATCTGTCGCCAAAGTCACTGACAAATGGTCAATGACTTTGGCGGCGGTGGACTTTGACGAGTTGGGAGTGAGAACAGGCTGAAATGGAACATTTAAAAATAAAAATATGTTAATCACTAAAATACTGTAAATATTGAAATGAATAAGTCACCACATTTCCAACCATTTAATAATTGATAGTGCACTGGTGAACAATGTGGGTTGTTTTTTTCTTAGACGTTTCAAATGAGCTCCAGATGGTAAAGAACCACTATGATGAACTGAAGGAAAACTCAATTGAACCACCACTATATATGAGGTAAAACTGTTGTTAAACGTCCACATAATTCTTTGACTATGAACTGTTCTGAATAATGCTAACAATGCTTTTAATTATACTAGTGCTGATCCACCTGTCCCAGCAACCCATTCATGATGTGTGCATAGGTAAGTTTTAGTGAAACTGATGATCAAAGTCGATGATGGGAGAGATGATATGACAGCCCTGCTGTAATTCATTACTGTTCAATGTCACAACTTCACTGTTTGTTTCTCTGGTGGACGTTTCAGGTTTGCTCAGTGGAGAGAATCAGCAGATGCCTGATCACCCACTGAAGGTCCCTGTGGGCACACCGATCCCTCAGAGACATGACACCTCTGATGACGAAAATGAAAAAGATGATCCGCACACCAAATAGAGCTCCCATTACTTTATACTTTTATTTTGTCATTCGTGACATTTTGAGCACACAGACTTTTCCTCAGACTTGTTAACCAAAGAAATTTTCTTTGGGATGTGCGTGTCGCCACCTCTTTTTTATGAACCTCTGGATTTGATCTCAACCATTTTTGTCAAGTTATCGTATCCCTGTTCTTTTTGAGTTTTTAATGTACTTTGAGTTTGCTTGTTGTTGTGTATTACATGCAGAGAGACATTTTTGCTTTCAAGTGATTATAGATCAGAGGCAGATAGAAAATGCTGGGAGAAGGGTGGAGGGAGCTGGATTCAAACCAGAGACATAAGCCCTGTTTCCACCGAGCAGTATGGTACAGTTCAGTTCGGTACGCTTTTTTTTCCGTTTCAACCATGAAAAATTGTGGATGGTACCAATGGAACCGTTCCGTACCGTCCCCATTTTTGGTCCCCCTCTGCTGTGAACACTGCAGTCTGTTGATTGGTCAATAGAGGATGGTCACTCTGCGTGCAATCCTGTTCTGTGATTGAGAAATGAGGTGCAGACTTTCCTCTGTGTCACCAGAAATACAGTGAGCGCTGGATGGAGCAGTGAGTGGCAACAACATGAAAGAGTACTGTTTGCAGTGGACACTCTAGGGTCTAGGTACCATGTCTGAAGGGTTACTTTGGTTCCAAAGATACTATATTGAAAGTGTTTGGTGGAAACAGGGCTATAGTGGTTTTTATGGTGCAGGTCTAACCCACCAGTGTACTATGATCTCCCAGAGACTTTTTGTTTTTCACAATTAAACATGTTTTTCTTCTTTTTGAATATGTGAATGTTTTTTTTCCAGGTTTTTTTATTATATTTGTTTAATGTTGATTGATTTTAATGATTTGATTTTTTTGGTTGTCTCACTTAAACCTTGAACCTTCATTACAATACATGCTGTAAATTAGATCTGACACTGACATTTTTCTTTATGGTATATGGTATACTGTCCAATACACCTCAATAAAGTTCCCTTTTGTGAATGCCACATGTAGTTTGACTTCTCTGTGGTTTATGTTGATTTATATTAATATTAATTTTGACTGTAAGATAAACAACAGATTTTCCAACATTGTTCTTGTCTTAATCCTGAAAACTCTAAAAGTTCTTACCTAAAGCTAAGTTTCCTGACATAAATCTACATTACAGTACCCAAGCTCTTACAGTAACAGACACCACTAATGCTATCTATCTGGTGTCCAAGTAGTTGTTGTAAATATATTGTCCTTTGGTAAATCATACCACAGTACGTTAGACATTATTATAGGCTTGTTCACATGCTTCGTGTTTTCTTGGTATTTCTGAGTCCGGAGTCGGAGGGGCAACGACGCGGAACTAAATCAATCGTCTCACCAGGTTGCCGGTCGGAGCACTTAAAGCGGCGCACCTACTGGATCATACGCCGCACAAGGAGGAAAAGGGTGCGATTTTTCTAGTAAAATAAAGGTGAATAACGTGAAACTATTTAAAGTACAATTGAAAATACAAGACAAGATCTTCTTCTGGTCTGGAAATGTTGTGGAATGAATGTTTAGCTCGAGTTGTGTGTGTAACAAGATTGAAATGATTTCAGCACCGTCATTTTTGACATATAACGTTAGCTGTAGAGTGACAGGTTTAGTCTTATGGTTTAGTATTAATCAGATTATCTAATTTCATCAGTCTATTGCTGTTGGTGTTTTTTTTTATTGCTCTTTTATATCTATTTAAAAGTGGTTTGTCTTTCTCCAGATATCAGCCAAGTTTGGCAAGATCCACCAGAGGAAGAAAGCACAGATGAGAGATTGGCAGAAGCAGAAGGAGGGGTAGAAGAGAGGGAGACAGAGGCTTGTGCTTCAACATCTTCATTCACTTCATTCTTTCTGCTCTCTTTCATTCAAGACGTGAACTTTTGTGTTTACATTGGATTGTTCTTTTCTTTTATCAATGAATGAAATAAACTGAGCTAAACGAGTTGTGTTGTATCTATGTATCTAATGTTTACATCTTTGTTTAAAAAAAGTGAGCATGTAAGAATCACTTAGGCCTGCAACCAGGACAAATTACAATAACAATGTTGCACTGCAAAACATCTTACCAAGAGTGTTTGTTTGAATTCTTGTCAAAATGTCTTATTTCTTATAGTCAAAAATATCATATCATATCATTACACTTAAAATAAGACCCAAAAGACAATTTTTTGAATTTTCACTTTTTTGGTGCATATTTTCACTTGTTCCATTGACAGATTTTCTACTTACGACAAGTTTTTTGTTGCTTGTAATTAACCATTCAAATCAATCAATTGTTTTGTCTACAGAGTTCAAGAAGTGGTGAAATATTCATGAGGAGGATGGAGAGGAGGAGAGAGGAAGAGGAAGATTGAGAGTAGAGAGAGGAGGAGGATAGACAAGTAGGATTTGTGTTTAATTTTTTTTTAATTTCATTTAAGTTTTTCCAATTTTACAAATAGTTTTTTCCTCATTGTATTTGTTCACTATACCGATTTAAAAAAAAAAGTATTTATCTTATTGTTCAGACTTAGGTATTTGACCCTACTTGTATGTGCCCCTGTATCAAAAGGACTGGCCCTAGTTTGGCCCTCCCATTGAAACTGGCCTAGAACCACCACTGCCGCCATCACAATCCCAACACAGGATAGAAGGGAGGCACCATTTCAACTAAAACAAAACAAAAACAAAAACTCTGCATGCTAACAGCATAACTACATAACATAGCATGGCCCAGTGTTACCACCTTCTGGTTGTGCAGACACAGAGGCTGTTTCACCAGCAGTGCAGCAGTTGAACTTACATTAGATCAAGTGTTGTCCCATTGTAAAACATATTAATTATTTGCGACCCAAAAGTTGAAGGTTTATGCCTATTGAGACATTACCATTGGTCGCGTTTCCCAGATCCAGTTAAGAAGATCTTAGCGCTTAGAGCTTATTAAGAATGCTCTTAAGCCTCCTGTGAAAGAAAAACGTGTTTCCCAGATTCGCACTTAGCTTAAGAAGATCTTTCACTAAGAAGGAGCTGTAGGATTGAGCTGACCCACTCTTAACAGTCTTTTTAGCGACCAAACGCTCACAGATCTAGCCGCATCAGGCAAATTAAAATTACATTAAGCAAGGAGATGTTAAAACTGTGCTCACCGCATATATTTTGATCTATTTTATACTTCAGATTTATATTGTTTAGCATTAATTGACGACAGAAAAGAACGAATGTCATTCTGCAGGGAAACGTGTGTCCTTACTGCGCATATGACAATAAACACTTTGAGTCTTGACTCTATATGTTTTCTGAAGACCCTATGTGTGCTCAAAACTGTGGCAGAAGTTACGCACCTATTTTTAGTCACAAATGTGAGTGCTTGCAATACATACATGCCCCTGCAAATTTTGTAAGAAGCACTGATTTCTACAATGAGAAATCAAATTCAGAACCACTGTTACGAGCAAAATACTCAACATCTACTAGCCTTGATGGTCTGATTGTGGATCAACATATATTCTCTGGCAGCACTCTGAGGCTGTGTATTGGCTTCAATGTGCCCTAAAACCATGTCTAACCCCATATAAACCATAACCTGTTAAACCAGTTTACCCATGCCTTTATTATCTTGTTTTGATCTTTCTGTTGCAGCAACAGTTAGATTCATTAAACCATGTGATCTCTGTCAGGGCAGGGAGGGGACAGTTATTATACAACAGCCCAAAGTATCTAGTGAACCAGAGAAGTGGATCAACTTGACTTCAAAAGTAGGGAAAAAAAACATAAGTACATCTTAATTGACAAATACAATATTCTTTCCATTGATTCATTAAGTAAAATATTCTGCTACACAAAGGAGAAATAGTGGTTGTGCAGATATGTGTAGAAAAGGTAGAAAAGAGGTAGAAAATTTAGGTTAATGGTGTCTGTGGTTTAAGGACCAAAGGGACGCCTTGCTACTCTTCTTGACACACTGCAGGCCAGAGTCCTGCATGGTCCCTTTTTGAAAACCTGCACCTGCACATACTTGTAAAGCTCACTACCAGAACCAACAGGCCACCTGACAATATGTCAAAGTCAAAGCCCCACCCAACCTGCACCTGTGATTAAACACACACAGGCGACAGTGATTTACATGTAGGTGGGTTTTCTTGTTCTTCGATTACAAATCCAGCAGAGGAAAAGTCTCTATCACTGGCTGCGCTCCATGCCAGGATGGCAAAAACATTTTGCACGAAATTACTGCCAAGTTAGGAAACATTTTAGCATGCTCCTTCAACCACCATAAAACTCCAATAAATAATATTATAATAATTATCCAATTAAATAATACCTCATGTGGCAAAAAGGACAAATGATAACCAATTAATTAAGTCAGTCTACTACAATATACTTAACTACCAATTTGGAACTTTGACTAAAAATTAAAATACTAACCGTATATTAACTGTGGCCAGAATTACCATATCAAAAGTAAAGATAAAGGTATTTTAGAGTTCTTGACACAGCGGTGGTTGGGGATTAATTCAGTCTTGTATAACATTAAACAGGCAGCAAGTAGGATTCCAAAAACATTTATTCAAACTTTTCACACATAGACCTGGCAAAAAGCAAAGGTGAAAACACACAGTATGTCCTCAACTAAATGTACTTAAGACACAGAATAGTGTGTGTGTGTGTGTATGTGTGTGTGTGTGTGTGTGTGTGTTCATGTGAGTGAGGGAGGGAGTGATAAAGAGGTGTGTCCATGAGTGAAGGGAGGAGCTGCTTGTTGTGTTGTTCATCAGCAGTGATCTGGCTTAGAAGAGTTGTGGTTCCAGTGCAGTCATTGTTGTACTGTATTCCAGCAGTGCAGGCCAGAGGAAACTGGTCCTTCTTGGCCCTACAGAGGTAGCACTTGGCATGAACTTGGCTTTGTGATCCTCTGTTTGGTAAGTTACCTTGCAAACTTTTACCCCTTTTCAACAGCAATGGGCTGGCCTGGCTTGGTTTGAGCTGTCAGCCCAGCACTGTCTGGAGCACTTGCTTGTCCGGTCTCCTCCACCATTTTGAAGAGTTTTTGAGTCTGCTGAGAACAGTCCACATGCAAAGAGTCTTTTCTTTGCTGCTTCATGCAGCAGAGGTGAGAAAAAATGAGGTAAGGTCGCAAGAGCTCCAAGTGTTCGATGACCTCTGTGGAGAGTCCCGGCAGCAAGAAGCCGAAGAGCAGAGAGTTAATTATCTTGTTGGCCTGATAATGTCATAGATCACACACAAGTTTATTTGGCTGGTCTTTGTCTGAAGACAAAAGACTTCAGCTGCCATTTGGCATGGACTGAAGTTACAGGAAATGTTAGTTTACATGTCCAGTTTAAAGTTGCACAAATAAACAAGTCATCTGTTGAGCCCAGTGATCCCAACAGAAATATAAATGAAAAAAATGTTGGTCCAATGCATAAAGTGAAGTACCCTTCTGCCAACATTTAACCCCTAGTAGTTTTAAGGTTATAAAAATCATCTTACAGTATCATATTTCTGTGTATTGTCTTGTCCCAGCTCTTTTTGAAAGCTGTATATTCACTGTAAATTGTGTGAATTTTTCAGTCTCCTTGATTTGAAGTCAAACTTCTTGTTTGTCATGGCTGCACCATCGTATCAAATGGAAATATTCTGTAAAATGTTTTGCATTTTTTTTATACATATCTCAGACGAATTCCCCCAGACATAAATGGTACTTTTTAAAACTTTTGGAAATACAGTCAGCACACTCCTAGAGAGACAGGAAGTCACATAAGGGTTCTAAAGACATGCTGAATCAATTTAGGTTAGCCGGGTTTCCCCTAGGATTTTTTGAAGCTGTGGTGGTGGGCTGTAGGGGAGGGGGGCTGTGGCCGCTGCGGCAGCAAAAAAATGTATGATTATGACAACTAAGAATGTTTATGAATAAATTATTTATTTGTTTTTCAACTGAGTCCACAACCAGCGGAACATGAACACTGGAAAAAAACAAAATTGCACAACTGTACAGCTGTAAATCTAATGGCATAGTTTGCAGCCTGGCTGAGAGCATTATTTTTCTCGCTTTTTTGAAAAAGAGTTCTAATGCTCTGTGATATGGGAACTCAACCAGAGGTGGCCCATTGATGCTGAGTAGGAGGCATGCTGCCAGATGGTCCCCCTGCAGCCTGTTCCTCAGGTCTGTCTTCACTAGGGCTGACCCAAAAAATTCGAAGCTTCGAAGCTTCGAAGCTTCGAAGCTTCGAAGCTTCGTTCGATGGCACGGGATTCGATTGTGAATTATTTTTTTTTTAATATAACCTATATATCCATTCATACAATATACTACTTAACATTGTTTTCACATTAAAAACAACAACAACAACTAATTTTTAAGGTGTGGCGGCTTTTATTTTGCCGTGGCGGTGCGCCACGATCAATTACATGTAGTGGAAACCCTGGGTTAGGCACTGATAAAGGGAGATGAGTAATTGTGTGTCTGTTCCAAACATTCTGGCAATCCATCTGAAAGTTGTTGAGATATTTCACTAAAGCCAAAACATGTTGTGTCGGTGGCACAAGAGGAAATGTCAGAGGGTCTCCAACATTATTAGGATTTATCCTCTGGAGACTAGACCATGAATGCCTTTATGAAATTTCATGACAATACCTTAAATAATTGTTGAGATGTTTGAGTCTGGACCAAGGTGGTTGACAGGCTGATGCTGCTAAATCTACAACTACGTTGCTAGCATTACTAAAAATGTATGGCAGGAGGAATGGAGCTCCATAGTTTTGGAGCACCTATTGAGAAACCAACAACCCTGAGGTCTGGCATCTGAGAATTAAATTTGAAAATGTTAGTATGTCATTGAGAATGTTTAATAACACTGCTAATATTAACATCAGTTTTAATTGCTGATCATTTTTTCAGTGGATTGCCATGGAGACATCTGATTTTGTCCAGAACAAATTAATTGAGTGGGGCTTCAGTGAGTTTGTGCAGAAATTTGAAGGTACTGTATAACCAGTCTGCGTTGGTAAGTACAGTCAGGACTGTAGTTAATGCCACTGAAATTGAAGACATATCCTTTGTGTAAACAGCTTGGTTGTGGGTTACTGTCATGACGATGTAAGATGTTTTATACTTCATCTTCAGCGAGACAAAACTCTCTAACATAACTCTTTTAAAGTTCAGCATCTTCATACCCTGAATTTTAAATGTGTCCCTTGACATGTGTGTATTTACAATGATTCACTTCAGAATCAGGACAAAGACATTTATTTTTCCTCTTTATGAAAACAGGACCCAAGGTGTCATCATCAAGATTAATCAGTTTTGTTTGACGTCCATTCCAGATGAAGGTATTGACAAGGAGACTTTCCTAAGTCTTGGAGATTCAGCAGGGATCAATGCCTTGATTCCTAAAGTTGGACCAAGAGTAAAATTCAAAAAGAGACTCAAAGAATACTTACAGGTAATGTGCTCTACTTGTACCAATATACTGCCTTTCGAAAACATGCTTGTTTTCAGGACCTTGAAGTTCTGAAGTCATCTTAAAAAGAAATGTGCAAAAGAAGGACATACAGCAGAGAGATGACAGAATCAGTACAGGGATTTGTTCTCTTTATGGACTACTCAGCTGACATATTTTTCACAGCCCCCAGTGCTCTGATTACCACTGGCACCACTGTTGCCTTTACTCCTCACATCTTCTCTAGCTCCTCTTTCAACCCCTGGTATTTTCTGAGCATCTTGTGTTCCTTCTTCCTGATGTTGCTGTCGCTCAGGATTGCTACATCTATCACCACTGCCTTCTTCCATTGTCTGTTGATCAACAAGATGTCCGGTTAGTTAGCCATCACCAGTTTGTCAGTCTGGATCTGGAAGCCCCACAGGATCTTAGCTCTGTCACTCTCAACGTCCTTACAAGGTGACCTTGGGACCTCTAGCCCACACTCAGTGCAGATGTTCCTGTACACTATGCCAGCCATTTGGTTATGGCGTCCCATGTACGCTGTTCCTGCCTGCATCTTACTCCCTGCTATTATGTGCTGAACTGTCTCAGGAGCATCTTTGCACAGCCTGCACCTGGGGTCCCGTCTGCTGTGGTAGACCCTGCTTCTATTGATCTTGTACTAAGTGCCTGTTCCTGTGCTGCCATGATTAGTGCTTCTGTGTCTTTCAGTCCAGTCTTTTCCAGCCACTGGTAGGAAATCCTTGATGTGATGTAATGTGATTAATAAAACGCCTGAACTGATTCGACCATTTGTCTGTTTCCCACATTTGCAGTGGAATTCCATGGAGACGTGTGATTTTGTCCGGGATAAATTAACTGAATGGAATCTCAGTGAGCTGATTCAGAGATTTGAAGGTAAAACACTGTTACAGTTCTGCTTCAGTGATATTAGCTAAGCCTGCTTGTTTCATGATAAACAACCATATCCTTGATATGGTACATATTCTGTGTATTTATTGAAGTTTCATTTTTATATTTCTTTTAATTTTAGATGAAGGCATTGACAAGGACACTTTCCTATGTCTTGAGGAGTCAGGCACCTTGAATGACTTGATTCCTAAAACTGGACCAAGAGTAAAATTCAGAAAGAGACTCAAAGAATACTTAGAGGTAATGTGCCACTGTATGTTATAGACACGTTGACACTGAAATTCTATTAGTTCTCAGCAATAACATTATCTGTCATACACAAGAATGATCCCACATCCCTCACGCATGCAGATACCTCTCCAGTAATATCCAACACTGTCAATCTTATTTTTTTTAATGGAACAGCAGCAGCTCTGGTACTTTAGTTAGATCCCACCACACTACAAGCAAGTACCTTACAGAGACAAAAAAACAGCTAGATGTAACTACTCAACCAAACATCTCAGGAGAGATTACAGACACTGAAACATAAAAGCATAAAGTTAGGATTGTATATGGAAAAGACAAAGTAGCGTACTGGTGCAGAGTGATTTGATGTCAAACTTTTAGTTGAAATCACAAGTGAAAAATAATTTTAGGTAGTAGTATGTGCTTGTAAAGAAAATCTAACCATCTGTCCACACTGCAGACCCTGAAAAGAAAGCTTGCTTATACTCCTGAAATGATGGACACTGAAACTGACACAAATTCAGACCAAGAGGACAGCCCTGAACTGGTAAATGCTGTGACCGCACGAGCAATCTGAACAGAATGACACTTAAATTATGCTCTTTTAAAGGAATAGTTTCACATTTTAGAAAACACACTAAATTGCTTTCTTACACAGCCATACTGCTTTCATGCAGTGGCGTAGTGGTAGTTGATAAGGTGGGTGTACTGATAGGTAGATGGGTAGGTTGCTGGGGAGAAAGTGGGTGTTCTCTTCTATATATTCCAATGGCTTTTGGCTGATAGGTTGGTATACTGCCAGAAAATGAGGAGGGTATAGCCTGTATATTTGCATATACCCTCCACTACACCCACAGTCGGAGCAAGTTTAATATCTTCTGGAGGGTTCTACAGCCCCGTTTCCAGCAAACACTTTCGGAATGGTACCTTTGGAACCAAAAGTAACCCTTCAGACATGGTACCTAGACCCTAGAGTTTCCACATTTTCAGACCAAAATAGACCAGGCTGCAGCGTGCATTTAGCCCTTCTAAGGCAAGCTTGGGGGTTTAGTGTTGCTGTAGCCCACAGGAACGATGCTCCGCACGCTTTTTTTATATGATCAATCAATATATGCAGTTCACATCACCCGGACAAAAGAATATACAATAACATAATTAATATATATACAAGTTTGAAGATCCACTCATTACCTAAAGTGTATGTCATATAAAAACTACAGTACAGTAAAAAACTACAGTAAAAACTACAAAGTTGTCATATGGAACATTTAAGGTGTGTTGATTGATTCATGTTGGCAAGTTAACATTCCACCTTAAAAATTGGTGGTAGTCGGCCCAGTGAATTAATTTTTTACTCCAACCACAGCTGCTGCAAGAGGCAAAAAAACATCCCTTCATTTTGTAGTTACAGTTTACTAATAAAACTCCTGTCCTAACTTGGCAGTAATTTTGTGCAGAATGTTTTTGCCATCCTGGCATCGAGAGCAGCCAGTGAAAGAGACTCTTCCCCCGCTGGATTTGTAATTCAAGAATGGAGAACCCAGCTGCATGTAAATGACTGTAGCCTGTGTGTGTTTAATCACAGGTGCAGGTTGGGTGTGGCTTTGAGTTAGGCATATTGACAGGTAGCCACTTGGTTCTGGTACTGAGCTTTACAAGTATGGCTGGGGGTTTTCAAAAAGGGTCCCATGGACTCTGGCCTTCAGTGTGTCAAGAGTGAATTAAGTTTTTTTTTTCTCAGACTCCAGCTGCTGCAAGAGGCAGCAAAACATCCTTTCATTTTATAGTTACAGTCTGCTAACTCTCCACAGTATGAACAGTGGTTACATGAGCCTCAAAACCAGCCACAACTCAGCCCTGAGCAGAGTGACCGTCCTCTATTGACCAATCAATGGACTGCAGTGTTCACAGCTCCACCTTTTAGTACCAGATCTGTGTGCTAGGTACCCCAACAGAAGGGGGACCAAAAATGGGGACGGTACAAACCGTCAACCTCCAGGGATGACGAGTGAAGCCAATGTGAAAGTGCCAAAAACAAAAAAGGGGAGAAAAGCCCATAGACCCCCATGTTAAAATGCTCAACTTTACAGCAGAAATAAACATGTTTACAGCCTGGTTTACGGTTTTGGTCTCTATAGCTAATTTCTCCTTTCATGACAACTGTACGGGGGTGTTTTTTTTTTGTAACTCATCCGTTTAAATTTTATTAAGGCTTAAAGTTGTGCATAATTAAGGGCGTGGTCACTTTGAGTGACAGGTGGCGCCATCATGGGTGGCTAACTAGTCGCTGGCTGTCTGCTAGACGTCATCTTGGCTAATTCACAATTCATTGAACCTGACCTCTCAGCCGTGTTTGTGCCTATATTTTGTTTCGTGAGGGAGCTGGCACCAAGGGGAAGCATGAGCGGGAGCAGCCAACACCACAGGGCTAGCCAAAGTAGCGTAGCATGTTAGCCTAGCTTGTTAGCCTGAGCTAACTTAGCAGCTTCGAGCGAGGTGGGCGAGTTTAAGCAACCAGGCTTCATTTTGCCCGCCTCTTTGCCCATTTTTGATTAGGCAGGAGTTGGACGGAGTCAGGAACTGCCACGATTGCGACCGCCAGAGCCGCCTACTTTGAGATGGTTTTGATTACTCACCTTAATTGAGCAGACTGCAGGTTCTAATCAGATGTTCTCATACGCAGGACCCAACTATTTTTCCATGGCACTTTGAGTCTACTTCAACATCTGACACAGATCGTGACAATGAAATGGTAAGAAGTTTTATTGTAAAGCTCAGATCGGACTTGATTTATTTCTGTCTGGGTGGTGAGGTGGTTTTAATATTACATGCGCTGGTCAGAGGTTTTAATTCCGTCTGGAGTGAGTAAGTGGGTATTTTTCACCCAAGTAATGATTAGACATTAATACTAAACTACTGTTTTCTGTAACTTGCTGGTCCTCCTTTATTTTAAATCCCATCTGGAGCAAGATATGTGTATTTTAGGAAATTAAGAAAATAGGAAATAAACGTAAAAATGTGTTTTACCTACGTAGTTAGTTTAATTTGAAGAATACTGTATGTATGTAATGAGCAAAAACTGTACATTTGCTGTGAATACAGAAATGTAGTTTGAAAAGACTCAGTGCATGTAACAAGCGTTAATTGAGACACCATCCTTGAATGTCCCAAACTTACGTAGGAGGCTACCTGGTGCGTCATATTTTGACTTGTAGGTCCACTGACAAAGCAGTGCTATTTGACGAGTTGGGATGTGAACATGTTGATTTATTGAGAGCCAATAGGACAACCAAAAGAATTACTGTTATTCTCTTTCTCATTCTCTTTAGCCCATATTTGCTTACATTTTGGCAAATTAGCACCACTACAAGTATGCCAAATTAGCTATTAGCATTTGGTGTTTGCTATATCAGAGTGACAAACAACTATTACTGGATTACTTTAAATTTAAATTTAAATATGTGATGATTCTCAGACATGTCCTGAAGCACCTTTTTGATTTATGTATCTTTAATTGCAATGTATACATCTGCGATAATTACATCCCTGGGACGTGTAAGACTCGCTGTATGCATATGAAAATATTTGTTGTGTCTTTGCAGAGTGGAGAGCCAATGCCCAACAGTACCTCGAGCACAGGCCTACTTGCTGTGATTCTCTTCATTTTGCGTCACCATCTAACTACAGCAGTGGCTGACTTAATGGCTCTACTGAATTTTCTCTGCCCTAACCTGGCTGTTGCATCTAAGTATCCGTCTGATAAGACTCCTGTCTTGTCTATTGTATTTTACTGCCCTCGCTGTCAAAACTACATGGGAAAAAATCCTGATGATACTTCTTGTTTGAAATGTGGTACAATGTTCAACAAAAAAAGCAGCACTAAAAATGGAGACTTCTTTTTGTTTGCATCACTGAAAGACCTTCTGAAAAACATACTCAAGAACCATGGCACTGAGTTGTTACCAAAAACAGTCAACCAGGGGGATGGCATTAAAGATGTGATGGATGGGAGGATGTACCAGAATCTGCTTAAACAAGGAACATTGGCTGCTGATGACCTTACACTGTCATGGAATTGTGATGGCGTACCAATATATAACTCAGACACATACTCGCTTTGGCCCCTTCAGTTTACTATCAATGAATTTCCTTACACACAAAGAAAAGAAAATGTGATAGTTGCAGGACTTTGGTTTGGCAAAGGAAATCCTGAGATGAACACATTTCTAAAGCCTTTTGTTGATGAATGTTCTGACTTAGCCCAAAATCCCTTCCAGTGGAGCGACAGCAATGATACAGTTCACTTCTCAAAAGTCTTCTCCTTGGTTTGCTCCTCTGATGCCGTTGCGAGGCCACTCCTCCGGAATTGCAAACGATTCAACGGTGAATATGGTTGTGACTGGTGCTTGCACCCTGGCATGATGGTCAAAAAAGGCAGTGGGTCCATGAGGTCCTACCCATATGATGAAGAGAAACAAGAGGCAAGGTCAGACAAAATGTTTAAAGATAATGCAATGCAGGCTGGAGAATCTGACCCAAAAAATGGGGTAAAAGGCTTTTCCTTGCTTTCCAAACTTCCCTTGTTTGACATTGTTTTTGGATTTGTTCCTGAGTACTTGCATTCGGTTCTGCTTGGTGTGTCCAAGCAACTTGTGTTCCTGTGGTTGGACCCAGTCAACTCGATGAAACCCTGGTATGTAGGTCAACAGATTGCACAAATTGACTCCCGACTTCTCAGTCTAAAATCAGCATTGGGTAAAAAAAACAGATCTCCGCGTCCACTGAAGTGTAGGGACACATGGAAAGCATCAGAGTGGCGAGCGTTCCTTTTATTTTATGCGATTAGTGTCCTGCCAGGTATCCTGCAGCCTACATTTCTGGAACATTATTTTTATTTGTCTTTCAGCGTTCACATTCTCCTACAAGAATCAATATCTCAACATGACCTTCAGGTGGCCCATGAATCTTTGGTACGCTTTGTAAAAGACATGAAGGTCCTTTACGGTGAGGAAAATGTGTCTTTCAACTGCCATCAGTTAATCCACCTCAGAGAAAGTGTGATGAACTGGGGGCCGCTCTGGGCAACATCAGCATTTAGTTTTGAGAGAAACAATGGATATTTGAGGGAAGTGCTCAATGGCATAGGTAATGACCCTCAACAAATTTGCCAGGGGTTTCTCTTTTGGCAGCTCATACCCAGACACCTTAGTTCTTTAGTTTTTAGCCGACAATCAGATTTTGGTGAGTTATTAGCCAAGCTCACACCTGTAAAAGATGGCAATGGCTCTGACAAACCGCTTGGAAAATCACGCCATCTGGATCTCACAGGATCCATAAAACTACCAATAGAAGAGCTCTTAAAACGGCCAGTTCTTGTCAGATCGGTAGAAGCTTATGACAGCTACAGTAATGGACACACTGTTTATCAATCGACAAACGGTAACCAGTCAGACAAGACGGACTGTGTTATTAAACTCAAGAACGGCTGCTATGGAGAAATACGCTTGATTTTGCTTATTAAAGAGAACTGTGTGTGCACATCCAACTGTCTGTGCCAGGCTCGTCCAATCATTGTGGTCCACCTGTATGACATCAAACCTGATACTATATTCAGCGACATGCATCCTAACAATGCATCTAAGACTATTTTTGTGAGAGTCGAAAGGACAGGTCAGCAGAAAGCTTTCTTCTTAGAGGACATCAGGTGTAAATGTGAGTATGTGGATGGTTGGCTTGTGCCTGTACCAAACACTTATGAGAGATACTAGAGTGACTGGAGGGCTAAAGCGCTCGCAGCAACAGAGCCAAAAATGCTGAAAAACACTTGGTTGTTTATATAAGTCAAGTCAAAGTCCATTTATATGTCTCCCTTGGGAGAAATCTGGATTAGAGACAGAGTACTGCTGCTTAAACAGCACGAAACATACAAACAAAAATACATAAAAGACAGTAAAACATTCAGCATCTAAAAAAAAAACATACTGGTAACCAGATAGGGACCAATGTGCAAAAAGATATTTGCTCATCTGAGCTGTGCAATTTGCCATGCCTACTCGTTGAAGTTAAAGTGCTGGTACACATTAGAGTGCTGGTACACATTAGAGTGCTGGTACATATTAAAGTGCTGGTACATATTTAAAGTGCTGGTTCACATCAAGGTGCTAGTACACATAAGGGTGCTAATACACCATACACAGAAAATAGTACACGTAAAGGTGCTAAATACACCGTACACAGAAAAAAAGTACACATTAAGGTGCTAATACACCATATGCAATACACAGTACACAATACCTGCTTACATTTGCTCATTAATGAGCTTGACTGACAACGGGACAAAGGAATGTTTGTACCGGTTGTGTTTACATAAGGGAATCCTGTACCTTCTCCCTGAATGCATTAGTGAGTATTTGTTGAACAAAACATGAGAACTGTCATTTAGAATGTTTTTTGCCTGAGTGATGACGGCCTGATTGAACAGTTCCTGAGGGTTAAGGGGGGGGTGACCCATAATCTTACCCGCTACTCTGACCAGGTTGAGAATCTGAGTTTTTGATTTGACATTTAGGTTCCCAAACCAGCTGGTGATACCGTACCGTACAATGGACTCTATTGTTGCTCTGTAGAAAATTAGCATTATGTTTTTGCAGGCACCAAACAACCGAAGTCTACGTAGAAAACTGTAAATCAAGTTCTGTGAATACAAATAGTAGATGTAGCTTGCCGTGCCATCAACTTTATAGATATCATCAACAACCCCTCAGTTTCCCTGTTCTTTTACAAACCACAAGTTCTGCATCTCTTTTCCTGGTGCCATCAGGTGAGTTGTTAATTTGCATAAGGAAGTTCTAATGCCTAGTTCAGACTACAGCTGTCCTACTGTGTCAGCTTAAATCAGGAGTGATAATCAGTGTTGTGTGTCATTATTGATCATTTTATCCCGTATCCCGTGCCACTGTCAATCAGCAACAAAGTCATCAACAGCCAATGTAGGAACTACAGTATCTTTTCTACCAGTTAAAGGCCACACTGATTAAGTTAAGAGCACTTTGTAACTCTGCAACTTTCATAGTTTTTTCTTTACTATGAAAACAGTGACAGCTTTACATTTTTCTTTAAGGACTTGTCTCATAAAAAATTATCAACCTTATTCCACCAGGTGCAGGTTTTTATTGTTATCTTGTGTTATGATCGTCTGTGCATGTTGGGGTGTATTTTCGAAGCATGTGTGTATAAAATAATTGTGTCACTTTAACGGTTACGAGTCTGGCGGGAAACAAGTGAAAGAAACAGACATTGCATATGTATCTAAAACATATGTAGTAACTTTGGTCCAAAACAATCATACATCTCTTCATCTCAGGTGACATCTGATCTTTTAGGTTCAATAGGTAATATCATACATTGTAATTGTATTTTATATTCTGCTCTAAATGATTTTGTAAACAGTTTGTACATTTAGTAAAAGTTAATGTTAAAAAAATGCCTGTATATAAAATGATTTTGCTGTATCATGACACAAGTCACTGTGACTCAAAGAAATACTGATAAACCTTGTTAACTTTGTTTGGAGAAGCGCCTCATATTGCTTCATATAATGTGTTGATGAGGCCCTCTCCATATGATCTTAAGATGTGTGCCACTCTTTTGGATTTAAAATACACTGAGGATGACTGTAATACACAAATAAATGTGTCAGTTAAAACTGTGACCCCTGCCTGTGTGTGTTTGTTTGGGTGACGTGTGCTTGGTGTCTTTTGGTTTGGTCTGTTTGCTTGTTTCCCTCCCTGCTCGTCTTCTCCCACTGTCCCACTCACTGCAAACCTGAACGTCATCTGCAATCATCACACCAGTCTGACAGTCAAATTACTGACTGAGCCTTTGTTAATGTTATTTCAGTCAGGAACACTTAAGTCAAAAAAACTTTATTTCCATTTGCACTATTACATTTGGCAGTATGGCTCTGTTCTGGGGCCTCTTTGCTTTTCATCAGGTCTGTACAGAAAACATCTTCCACGACCCTACATGGAAAGCCCAGAGAGCACACCTCTCTGCCCTTCAACGTGCTTACACTCAAATGATGTTACAGTAAAATACCCTGTGTTTAGCAAGTGTCTGTCTTAATGTAAGTTTCTCTTCAGGACAAATGGGTTGTTCTTTTTGCAAGAGTCTGTTTAGCGGTAAGTATGCTGCCATGATGCCTGGAAGTTATAAATGATGCGTACACGATAGGGACAGTTTTAACACACATACAGGTCTTCTAAAAAAAAAAAAAAGTCCTTAAAAAGATGCAACATGAGCTGCTTGAAATGTAGTTTGGTGAGGAGCCCCAAAACATTTCCATGCTAAGGACCCTCAGACAGATGGAACCAAAACATTTTATCGTGGTACCGTAAAAATAAAATCTTTTTGTGTGAAACTATACCCACCTGAGAAGAAGTAAGAAGTCAGTAAGCGAAGAATGGAGAGTGTATTTGGTCCATGACCTGGGAGATGATGTACTTTGATGTTTTACATGATATGTAAAGATGTTTTGCATAATATGTAAATCATATCATAGGGAGAGTGGGGCAGGTCATTCCTTCACAACAGATGTTTTGTTTTTCAGGGCGCTCCACCTAGTTTGACAGTTTGACTGCAGTTAACGAGCAGCTGCGTTAGAGACTCCTACGCTCTGATTGGTTGTGACACATGACATTTTGGCATTTAAAAAAAAAAAATCAAAAGAGAGCATACAGCAATGTTACACACCATCAACACACTGAATAATACTGACGCAGACGTATAAAGGCAGTGTGGAATCGCAGAGAACAAGTGGGTGTACCAGTTCCTGAACATTTACATTCACTGTTGCCTCTGGCCTGATTAAAATGATGTACAGCTGATTATTTAAAATCAACAAAACTTCACTGATGTGCAAGATAGCAACATTTTCTCAGGAGTGGAGTGAGGAATGTATCTCCAGCAGGAGCAGTGGTAGTGGTAGAAGTGTTAAAACACAATTATACAACAAGTAGATCTGATCAGGCAACCTGATTGGTCAACTAGACATTTAGAACGTGATCAAATCAGCATGACAGCACTAAAAATATTACTCTGCCATCTACATGACAACATTGTAACTTTACAGAGCTGCAGCAAAAACCAGTAGGTTACAATAAAGATGCAAAATGGATCTCTTTGTTGTTAACTTTTATTTAAACTATCTTTCTTTAATAAAAGGTGAAAATGTTGGTTTGAAAGGTTGATTGCCGATGATGGACTGAAGCAGAAAATTTTGTAAAAATTAGTTACAAAAATATTGACTTAATAATATCTGTTGTTTTATTTGGTTTCCTTGGGGTTCACTTTGTAAATCTGGTAATCAAGCTGCTAAATAAGAACAGCTCTTGACTATAGGTTACAAACAACATTAACAAATCATGTATATGTTAACATGTGTCATGTTAACTTTCCTTCAGGCCTTCCTTTAAAAGAGAAGCAGCAAATGTCAACTTATTCTGATTAAACATGGCTACGTAGTTGATTGATTTTCAGGTTACCATGTCTCGTAGCTTCCTCTCTGCTTGGAGGGACAGAGGACACACGCATGAAGAAGGATGGACCTCTGCTGTCTGCAGACAGTAACTACACATTAGTACCTGAGCTTTAACTCTCTCCTGCAGGGATCGATCTTGTGCTGAGCAGGGGCCTCTCTTCTGTGGAGCCTCAGTCTGGAATGAACGGATGAAATCCTGCGTATCCTAAACACACATAAACACAGTGCACATTCAGATATATACAGTTTTTCCCACAGTCACAAACATGATGATCCATTTATTGTTTTGGTTTTTCATTGGTTGGTTTTAAGTGTGCATTTTGTGTGTGTTTGTGAGGGTGTTGTCTCACCGTGACCGTCTGCCACAGGTGTTTGACCTTCTCTGTTTTCAGCAGTCTGCGAGTGAAGAAGCCACAAGTGATGGTGCCAGTTTATAAATGAAGAGTTTTCCTGTGCAGTAAAAACCTCTGGCTCGATTTCTCCAGGGTTAATTAACTACAATACTCTTCTGTCTGTGCAGTTTTTTGCCACCACTGATACAAACTCCAACACAATGACAAGTGATCATGGTGGTACCTATGCTCAGATGGTGTGTGAGCAGGGCTTAGGACAGGCTCAAAACATGATGGCTGTCACTCACAGACCTACAGTTCCACCCACAAGCATCCCCACTCAAAGGCAGCACAGCCCTGCTCCTTCAGTCTTCTCTCTGTCTACTCCAGCTTGTAAAATGCACAAACACACACACACACACACACACACACACACACACACACTCATCAGTAGTGCATTCTAACTAAACAACAAAATACAGGTTTTGTTGTTGCTTTAAAAAACACATTTTTGGTCGTCTCCTATTTATATGTGTGATTCCATGTGCTGACCAGACGGAGGCGCTGTTGCTCTTTCTCCTGCTCAGCCAGGAGCAGAGACATCTGCAAGGCATGGGAGAGACAGTGGCAACAAATGACCAGTGATTTACTTTAATGGTCAGTGCTACCTCATTCACTAAATTACTCTTTTCGCACAAGAGCCTTTTCAGTATTTCAGCTGTCGTTCTACATATGTCTTCCTTATGCTTCTTCCATTATCCCTTGTATGGGTAAAATTCTTTGCAGTGTTCACAGCTCCACCTTTTAGTATCAGATCTGTGTGCAAGGTACCCCAACAGATGTGGGACCAAAAATGGGGATGCTATGAACAGTTCCTGTGGTACCATCCACAACTTTT